TGAACACAGGTTAACACACCTACAGGTGAACACACATACAAGGAAAAACAGATGAACATATATGCATAAAGGTGACCACACAAGCAGGTGAACACACACAAAGTTACCCACAGGATGACTTCAGCCAGCACCTGGGACAGGTCATAGAAGGAAACGGACTCCCCAGCCTTGCCTGCATCCTTCCACTGATGTTCATCTTTGGTGGGGATATGAGCCGGTGATGGGGAGGCGAGCTCACACTAATCTTTGGTGCTGAATTCTCAAACCGAGAATCTCAACACTGCCAGCTAAGTGCTTTGACACAGCCTGAGTCACGGGCCACTGCAAAGACAGCGCTTACTAAGTCCTTTGACACATTACTTAAACACAAGGCAAAACAATAAGGTTTAATTTCATTTATTTTTAACAAACTGCATTCGTAGTGGGTAGCACACAAGGATCACTTAAAGTGTTCACATCATAAACAATACTTATTGTTAAATAACCTAAACACAAGTAAAAACATGCAGATTATATCATGCATGAGGATGAAGCTGCAATGAGTCTGACTTCATAAAGTTATCACGGAATAAATGTCCACACAAAAAATACTAAATTTACCGGTATCGTGACGTTATCATTTATCAGGTATTTCAGTGGCACCCAAAAGTCAGTGACATTTCAACTGTTGATGATGAGACTGGAAGGTGCCTAAAGGACACCTGTTGTGCAAAACAAACCAGGCCAAGTGGCACTGCGGATAAGCAAGTGACTCGCAATCACAAGGTTGCGAGTTCACATCTTGTTTGGGGGTGGGGGGGATTCACTCAGCCCATCATCCTTCCGGGTTCGATAAAATAAAACACCACTTTGCGTAGTCAGCAGTGGGTATCCTATGAATAGAACCCCCCCCCCCCCCCCTATGCCATGTGGAATTTTCACTGCTGGCTCAGGGCTCTAAGCAGATGAGCACTGGCTCAAGGCTCATTTGAGCAGAACATCACTTTTACTTTTTTATACTACAAAGGAAGACCTAAGAGTGGACAACAGCTCAGGCGTTGACTAAGCGGCATTAGAGATGTAAGAGATGGAAGTGATGGAAATGGTAGTGGGTTTAACTGCACTGGCGGACATAATTATGGAGAAGGGTGAGATTATGGCTTCTGCCGTAATCCTTGTGACGCAGTTAACACATCCTTCAATCATCATCACCCTCCTCCATCCTACACACGTGCCCCACCCATTACAACCTCCTCTCTTCCTGCTGATGTCTACAAAGTACTCCAGTCACATTATTTTTTAATATTCAAAGTCGATTACCCAATCGTGCCACGAAATGCCTACCTCATCTGCTTTCATCTGCATTCACATGCCAGTAACGTAATTTCTTGTTTCAGACGAGATACTGCTTTAATCCTACCACAAGCCTAAACAGATTAACTATATCCAACTCTAATACTCGTCCTGCCCAAGCTTTTTTTCCATCACTACAATCCTGGGCAGAGGTCTAACAATCCCGATGAGTGGTTAACCCCAACTGTAACTACGACTAGCCAGATCCTCGCCTATACACAACAATAGCCACAACACCAGAAAACATCACAATACCATCGTTAGGTTGAGCTCGCATCGCTCCAACAAACTCGATTGACGTGGACACATCCACAGTGAGTTTAAAGAAAATGGCTCAGACAATGGCTCTCCTGTGTCAAGTCCAATCACGCGGCTTGAACATGAAACTCCAAATACTGCTGACTCTGTTGTAGCCGACATGGGAATCGTACCCGTGGGACCCCCAGATAACGGATCTCAAATCGCACAAAGGGTGCCGATTCGGTGCGATTATAACTTGAGTATTTGTCCACCGAGAGAGGCCAACATCCGTGGATTGATAACCCAATGTCCTGGCTTCTTGCACGTAACAGTAACAATATGTTCAGGAGCTGAACGCCAACGTCAAGATCCGCTAGCCACAAGATGGCTTCAGGGGTGAATGTAGTTTTACTGTTCCTTCAATGATGGAATGCAGACTGCAGTAGTTTGGGTCGCATGGCCACAATCAAACTGTCGCTCATAATGTATTTAATTTCACATGTTGATGATCTGATGTGGTTGACGGTTACACCAGTGTCAAGGAATGTCAAAGCCAGGAGGTGTTCACGTTTGGGTCTCAAGTGAGGTGTTTATTTTGGATGTTCGCATTAGTCCACTGTCAACATTCTTCCAGATCTGGGTGAAATTCGAGGATGGTGAAAGAGCGATTCCAGGATGGGGATCGGGACTTGGATCCGGTGGCAAGGAGCATTTCTGAGCTCTTAGCTGATGGGAGAGGTTGTCATTGGCAAGAACATGTGTAAACTCCCTCGCAAGTCTCTGCAGAATGTTCACCAGAACAGGGAGCCAGGAATTTGCTGTCACTTTGAGTGTTCCGGTTAATTGTCCATTCGGCAGTTTGTGTGCGAGATTCTGGATCAGATTGCAGTGCAGTGCCAATAAAAGGGCGGCAGCTCGTAGCACATCAGCTGAGATGACCCGGGCCGTTCCAAGTTTCTGTTGGCGGACGATTCTTGATTTGGTCTTTTCACAGATCTGTGACATGAAGGCCAGGCTTATATCGATAACACCTCGATATCTTGGAGTAGGGTCATAGCGCACTGAGCCACCGCAGAAGGACACTGCGAGGGTGGCATTTTCTGTTGTGACTGTTCACGTGAAAAGCGCATCCGGTGGCTTTGAAGGGATTTTGTCAGAGACTCCAGCTACGTAAATATGCCTCCAATAACGTTAAGAGTAGTGGCAATTTCGATTTGAAGCTTTCGTGACTGCAGGGATTCATCTTCTTGGTTCTTTCGGTAAAGTCACGTAGAATGGAAATAAAATATTATATAATTAAAATATTTTATATAATAAAATAATATTTTATTTCCATTCTACGTGACTTTACCGAAATAACCAAGAAGTATTGGCAATGTTCTCGAGGTTTGTGCCCTGGACAGGCAAGGGCTAAGTCTTCTGCATCTATGAACTTGTTAGTTGATGCGCATGGCAGGTCACTTATATTTGTTAAACGCTCGTACCGAGACCTTGAGGGAGGCCATTGATCACGATTCTCTTGCAGCGGCTATGTTCACCAATGAGGTGCACACCCTAAGTGTACGGTTGTTGTACAGTAGAGCGGCATACGATGACCTTGACCAACTTCAGCGGCAAGCCGTGACGCCAAACAGCGTCACAGGCAGCACAGAGGCCAATCATTGCCGCGCCGGTTTTAAATGAGGGTGAAAGGTGGCGATTTGTTCATAGCAGCCGCTACAGCCAGTTCGAAAATCCGGCTTCATCTAGAGGAAAGTTGGCAGTCGATAATGGGGCAAAGTATGGCAAGCGTGGCTCGTTCCTTCAGCTTGTAGGTGGAGGACAAGAGGGATTTGTTGGGTCTGTAGCTGGAGGGTGAGTCTTGCGGCTTTCTGGGTTTCAGGATGGCGATGACTTTGGCTTGCTTCGTTGCGATGGGGCAGCAGATGCACAACTCAAATCACGACTTAAAAGGTCCCGTCCCAGGGTCTCCCACTCGAGTGGTTGTTCAATGAGAGACACCAAAACCCAGGGCTTTAATCGAGTACCTTAACACTGATTATTTTAAAATACATTAATTTGTGTTTTTTTAAAGATAATTATTTCATATTTCACCCATGCGAATTACTGAACTGTTCAAAACAAAATCAACTGCATGTACGACAATCGAAAGAGAGGGCAATAGTGAAGACAAAATGACGAGGATAAATCCAAGGTACATCAGACACAGTCATAAAATCCTCCCCATTATTCTCATATAAAAATGTTAAACTACGCATTTGGACAAATTATAATACCATGGCACAATTCTGTACAAATTTACCAAGGCAGAAAACCTCACAAATCTTCTGCTTGTAAGCTCACAACTGTGTAGATGTATGGCTTCGGTCTCGCTCACTAACCCCAGCAACCTGTATAGTGCATTGTAAACATGGATATACGCAGATGAATAAAATCCCTTCACTAAAAGTTAACATTTTAAATCAATGTCGTCGTCGTCTTCTTGCACACGTTATTTTTTGCTGGAGTTCAAATCCCTACCAGGAGCCGACTCTCATCATCATCCCTCCGGGATCCGTGTGATAACAAAGAACACCTCTGAGGGAATTTAACAGAGGTGCTATTTCTCCTTCCATGGAAACAGTGGAATTTCCACTAATTAGACCATCGTAAGCTAAAAGCATCGCCTGCCTAATGCTCTTGAAAGTACTGGGGACTTTTTTACATTGACTAACAATCAACCCCTATGACTGACACGGTGTGGGGGAGGCCTTTATTCAGGAGTGGATTCATAAATCCGCATACATCAGCTCACACCTACTGTAAATTACGTGACTTGTGTGTGGCCACCCCCACTCTGAATCCCTCTCCCACCCCCGTTAAAACAAATGCTGCTACGTGCAGCTCACTCATGCTTCCTCCATCCTTATCTCCCCCTCCTTTCCCTGCCCTCTCATCATCATTCTCTCATCCCAGATATCTTGACCAGGTCATTCCTTCTCCCCCCTCCACCGCTTCCTGATTGGCGCTCCTTATTTCTTCCTGCTGCTCATCTTGAACCGTGCCCCTTCAACGCTCTTCCCTTTCAGGTTCTCTTTCACAAGAGATTATGTCCTCGACTCTACCAACCTTCTATGGTGTGCCACGGGTACACGGTTTTATAATATTTTGATATGACTACACGTCCTTTCACACTCTCACTACAATATTTATCCAGCGCCGTCTTCACCTGCGCACGAGTGGTTCACACTGTTTTAAAGACAAGTAAATGTTCACAACTGAAGTAAGTAAAAAATATATATAATGGCATGTGATGGATTTTTTTGTGTAGTCACTGGTGACCGGGCTGAGACCATCAACTCGCCACACTTGAGAACGTGGCTGAAACACGGGTGGCTGAAACCTAGAATCAGTAAACGTGATCTCGGTGGCCCTGGATCAGTGTAATAGACACCCATTCTAACTGCATTCACTAGATACATATATTGCACGTGGAAATAGCAACGCTAATATTTGGGTAAAATGGAAAATGTCAAAAACATATTTTTGGCACCTTCAATTTTTTTTTGTTATAAAACACCCCCATTGTTAAATATCGTTATTGTACTATAAACTCACCATTTAAAATGTTCGTATGACTTAAAAAAATATAGACATAATCAGTTGATGGTATGCCAGGGTACTAGACTCAAATCAGAAAGTTATGAGTTCAAATCCCCATTGAAAGCCAACTCTCTCCATCATCATCATCATATACTCCAGGTTCAATAAAATGAGTACCACTTTGTGGTAAGTCACCAGTAGTGATGATCCTCATCATAGGAATGTGGTATTTTAACTTTTGATTTGGGGCGCCCAACATAAATGAGCATTACTATTCCACTGCTGATTTTGATACTGTTGACTTCTCACGCAAACTTTAAAATAGCGCAAACGCACAAAGACACCCGACAATTTGTAAAACAATTAAAACGTAAAAAAAACTATTGAACAATAATACGTGGAAACAAAAAATATGGCTTCTGTTATACTCACTTAAATAAATACAGTGATGTGTCGAACATGAGTCTTTTTCATTTTCAGTTGCACTTTTGTTTCTGAAACTCTTATATTGATAGATTTCAGTATCACAACTGCAAACGAGTAAATTCAAGACACCTTAAAGATGTCGGGCATCATAAATATAATACTCATTCAGTGGCTTTTCACTTGGGCATATTATGTCAACCAATTAGGACTGTAATTTAGGTTTTAAAATAACATGTCCACCTCTCTTGACAAGGGAGAATTGCTCATCCAACAGCAAGGGCTGTCCGATGAACTCTGAACCGAATATTCCCATCAATGCTAGGATGGTGATGGTGCATTCATTTCCAAGTACGTAGCTTACTTCACAAGCCGTGCCTTCTGCATTATCATCATCTTTAAAATGACGCCCCAATAAGCACGAATCGGGAGTGTCAAACCCACTACCACTTTAAAGAGACGGGTGACTGTTCCCATGAAAATGTGCGCATAATAAAACTTGATTTTTATTATCACTATTATTATTAAAGTTTAAATATCAATGTGCCTAGTTTGTGGAACTACCCAGTGAGAGCCTGACTGAGTCTCACCAATGTGTTTTTTTAAGAGAGTCCCACAATGAGATGTTTGACCAATTCCTGGGCAAGGAAGCCTTGGTGGTACCTCTATCACAAGGCATTGTTCAACACAGGCGATTTCATTCCATGTGCTTTTCGAGCTCGATTAGATCAATTCCAATCGTTTAACAAAAAACAAATCTACGTGGGTCAATATTTGAAAATAGAATACCCAATGAAAAAGATTATTCGTGGTACCTGATGCATAATCCAGCCAGAAAGTTCATGATGACCTTGCATTGTCTCCAACATGGGCATTATGAGTCCTCAAGGCCACCCGGCAGCCTATTTGTGGACTGTAGTTTTAAGTGTACAGCGAATTAAAAGACTCAACCCCAACCACAGAAAACGCTTATGTTGTAGATACACCTCGGTAGTGTCCTAAGCTGCCTGGCATCAGTGTGAAACTGCGGCTTGTGCAACTACTGGTACTTGAAGGGAGCTCCATTGAGCCCTTCTAAAACAGTATATCTAGATGGTACTTGGCCTATTCTTCCTCACTGGTCAGACATCTTGGAAGATGTGGGAAAACCCACACTTTACCCCGCCACACGCAAACTGAAGATCAACCGCGGTGATGCCCATTTACACTGCTGCGTGGATAGAGGCAGTGGGTTTGGATTTCAGAAACTTTGCACTGTTGTTACAACTACCGTGCCAGAGGATCGGATGAAATTGAACCGGCAAACTCTGGATCGCAAGTCCCAGTTTGATAACCATTACACCACAGCGGCACCCTTAACAAGTAAACAACACTTTAAAATCACAGCTGTTGACATATATAAAAATATATATTTGATTGACACCCCCCGATGAAGTCACTGGATCAGTCCTGCGGGTTTTAATTTCGTCAGTAAAGTTTCACACTTGTGTCAGACTGCCTGCCCAGCGTCACCGGCACAGCCATTATGCACCCCTCTAAGCCACCCTTGTCACCGACACGGCCATTTATGAACCCCTCTAAAGCACTCCTCCCTGCTCTGAATCACCGACACGGCCGTGTTGAACCCTTCCGAACCCCACGCCCATCCACCTCCACACAAATCGTCAGCCCAGAAGGGGGTCGGGACGGATGGCACTCAGGCGAATCCGCTCGCCGACGCGGTGATGTTCGACTGCCGCCCCACGAGCGAGGCCCAGGCGCCGGCGATCATCCCGAGGGCGCGGCACACGGCGAAGCCGGCGAGTCGCTCGACGTGCGAGCAGGGCGGGCCCCGCAGCACGCTCCACGCTCGCCGCTGGTCGGCAGGCTCCATGCGGTGCGACGAGAAGATGCGGCCGTAGCAGCAGCGGTTGAAGGGCAGGCGCAGTGAGCCCGAGAAGAGCGCCGTGTGCGACGGTCGCAGGCCGGCGCGCCGGGCGCACTCGCCCACGAACACGTCTTCCAGCGGCAGCAGCGGCGCCGGTAGCAGCAGGGCAGTGGATAGAACCTTGCGGGAGCAGGGAGCGCGGAGGAGCGGATGTACGGGCAGAGAGAGAGAGAGAGAACGGTTAACAAGCACAGGTAAACACGGAGATGGAGCTGTACTGTGGCTGAGAGTAAGCATAAAAGCGGGCGTTCGCGCACGGCACTACGGGCCCCTGGGACCGGAGTTCGATTCCCAGCCACAAATACCAGTTGTAGTAAGCGGTCTTTGAACTTGTCTTGAGCCTCCTCTGGGTAGACTAAGACTTAAACGAGTTCCTGGTGTGGTACGTGAATATCAGCGCCTGGGAGGTAGTCAGGCATGGTGCTGGCAACACCGACCCGCTGGTGTTTCATGTTGGCCTTAATAGGCGCTCGCAACCGGGTCGTCTCGGAGGCGCGTATAACTGCAAGAGCGGTTAATAGGAGGTGTATATATATAGACGTGTTTATCAATAACAATAAAACACAATAAACTGAACTTAATCATGATCAGCAACATACCAAAGTGGCAAAAAAATGTGTATTTAATCAGTGTATGTTACCTGCCATGGCATATTGATCGGGAATATGCAATGGACACTAATAATTTAATGGAACAAATGCTGAAAATTGCGCAAAAAGACAAGAGGTAGAAGTACACTGGGAACAATCCTTGGAGCCAGTCAAATTAATTCAAGGAGACATCACAGTGAAAAGTAAGTGGGCTTGGGCCATGAAATCAATGGTGAGATGGAAAGTGGACCACATTGATCAGAGAACAATATCTGTCCTTTACAATGCTAAGTGACTGGGCTTGGGCAGGCCACGTTGCTCGCAGGGATCATGGCTTGTGGTGAAAACTCACGACAGAGTGGCAGCCATAGGAGGAAACATTCCCGAATATACGCCCACTACAGAGATGGAGTGATGAGATCGGCTTATGTGCAGATGGATTGTGGCACTGCACAACCACGAGGAATGGCACCGGCTAGGGGAGGCCTTCATCCATCAATGGATAGGTCACGGCTAGATGACGATGCCGCATGTGAGGGTTTGCGCACCTTGCGCGCCGCGCTGCCGGAGAGGACGTAGGCGGTGCCGCTGCAGTAGGGGGCGTAGTGGTCGCCCGGAAAGCGCTCGTCGCTCACAAACGCCTTGCTCGCCGGGTCCCGGTTCGGCCTCACCCGCGAGTGCACACGGCCCAGGTACAGGTCGTGACCTCCTTCGCCGCCGCCAACACCGCCACCTTTGCCTCCGCCACCTGGCGTTCCAACAGTGACCATCCAACACAAGCGTGTGTACACAACCACAAGATCCACGGGTGAGAGGGCTCCAGGCGACAGGCTAGGAAGAGGGTGGAAATTGGACAAGGGCCCCCCCCCCAATTCATTCTTTGCACCAGGACCAATGCCAACCAAGCTACACCACTGATCATGTTACGTCAGCCGATGCTGCTGCTGTTCCAGCTGCCGCTAATGATGTACTCCCTAAAAATAATTTTACCAGGTAAGGCCCACTGAGCGATATAGCTCATTTTCAGAAGCGACCTGGCCACAAATTATAGCTCAACGAAGTGGCTAATCACGTGGAAATTTATAGCAGCCAAATACTCTTAAACGCACATTGATTCTAAATGCGGAGGGAAAAACCGGATGACGATGATGATGCTGCTGCTGCTGTTGCGGACACTGGCGCGGTGGCACGACACAGCGGTAGCGCGCTTGCTCCTTGCCGCAGAGGTTCGCAGGCCGAGCCCATTGGCCGCCCTGGTCAATACTGTGGGCGTATTCACCGAAAGCTAACAGTGCCATCTGCTTCACAGTGGCCGCTAATGGAGTCCGAGACCTTATCTGAAAAAAAGACGCAGGCAGGCCACGTGTGCCCGTGTCGTTGTCCACATTTCCCAAATTTTTACAAATTTAGCTGCAAATGACTAAAGTTGGAACCACGTAGCAACATCGCTCCCGACTAGCAAACTATACTCGTCTGTGAAACACATCACCGTCGTAGTAACCTTGTGCTTTCAGGCACGAATAACAAATGTGCTCGATAATAATTGACATTACAATGCGCGCCTGTAGGGTGCAAATTTCTCAGTCATGCAAGAGGTCACACAATTGGCCCCTATGGTCCTTTGCTGACGATTCGTGATGAATGATTGGTTGTACACGTACAGCCCTTGTGTCATCCGCTGCTGGAGGAGGCCCTGCTCATGCCCCCTGGGTCGTGGCAGTTATTTCCCCATATTTGACCCTAATTTCGCCACTATTTCTGCTTAGACTCCATTCAAATATTTTCGCAAAACAGTACAACCACTCGTGTTAAACAATGAACGGCAGCCCGAGAAAATGACACTGCAGAACCGCATCTGTAGACTCCCTCAATGCACGATGCATCCATACCAGATGGTGCACGAGAAGTTCAACAGACATACATACATTGGTGACCAAGCTAAGATCATCAACTTACTACGCTTCAGAACCCGGTTCAATCATGTGTGGCTACCTGTATTCGAACCCAGCATCTCTGCGGTGCCAGCTCAGCGCTTGCGCTGACCCCCCCGAGAGTGACCCCGGCAAGGCTCAACTCTGCAAAGTTGCTTACCGTAGTCCTCGTCAGCTGGCGACGCCGGTCCGTGAGCGTCGTGCAGGTGTTCCACCAGGGAGTGCGGATTCACAAAGACGTCGTCGTCCGCTTTGAGGAGGAAGCGCACCCCGGGGCAGCGCGACACGAACCACTGCAGCGTCGCCATCGTCTTCAGCGTCAGGTTGCGGTACGTGTCGAGGAATTCCGCCTGCGCGGGGGGCGACGGTTCTGCGTCAGCCGACGCGTGACGAATGAACACCGCTCGCCGCCGTGCCACTGGGTAAAGTGTTCGCGGTTGTGCTGTGCGGCTCTCCCATGCGTTTCATTAGGCAAGAGCTGAGGTTTGTTCAGGCCCGATGACGCCGTTTGTCATCTCCATCGAATCGTCGTATGAATATTATCAAAATGTAGCTTGCTTTTCGAAATGTCTCCGGATTGCTAGAAAACCAAATCACTTGGGATATTTGCAAACTTGACATCTTTATTTGATTTGCTCTGTCCAGCGGTGGAGGGTTATAGACACTAATTATGAATAATAATACTGATCATGAAAGCATGCATATACAATTAGCGTAAGGCATGAGCATGTTTCTAAATACGGAGTGAAAAACCGGGGGACCCGGAGAAAAATCCACGTGACCTCAGGGAGAATATGCAAACTCCAAATATACAGGCGTCAGGGTCGGGATCGAACCCACAACCACCCCAATTTAAGAAACAATTTTCGAAATTCTGCGGCCAGGAAGTAGAAATTAACCGTCGACCACTGGATTGCAAGTCCAGTGTGCGAACCATTATACGGCAGCATCCCTCAATCGTACGACAACACTTTAAAGTCACAGTTGTGCACTATTGACATAATGCATTGATGAATATTACAACAATATGGGACTGGCACCAAGGTGAGGTCACTGAAGCAGTTCTGTGGTGACATTTCAGTAAGAAAGCTTTGAACTTGTGCCAGACAACCACGGAAAATATCCAAACAGAATTGGTGACTTCTGGATTTCAAGTCCAGTCTGCTAACCAAAACCTTCACCGGAATCACGGAAGAGAGAGAGAGAGAGGTTAGAGGGGTGGGTGGGACGAGCCTGCACAATGTCGCGCCGTTCCACCGACTCGTTCTGCACGCTGGCCCTCGTCCGGTCGCTGCGCGTCACTCCCAGCACAAACACGACGCGCACGTCCAGCGCCCGGCCACCGCCACCGCCGGCCGAGGCCACCGCCACCTTCCGCACGCCACCCCACGTCTCCCTGATGGCCTCGCGCCGCGACCGGTGTTCCGGCGCGCTCGCCACGCAGATCAGGAGGAAGGGCTCCGCTCCGGGGCGGCACAACTCGCCGGGGGAGCTGAGGAACCGCGCTCGCCCCTGCGGGGAAACGCCGCCAGCCGAGCGGTCCGGGCGGCAGTCGGGCGCCTGCCACGGCAGCTGCATGAGCAGCAGGCGCTCCTCCATGCGGTCGCCGTACGATAGCAGCAGCACCAGTGCCACAGTGACGGCGGAGAGCGCCGCCAGTGACCAGAAGCACAGGCGTGCCAGGAAGGCGCGGGACAGCGCGCGGCATGGAGTGGCTGGCCACATGCTGCTGCTGCTGCTCTTGTTACATACGTCTGTGCTGTCATGGGCTCCAGTCTCTTCTCTATGAAGGGAGAATAGCACAACAACAACAACAACAATCGTCATTTGCCACTAAGTGGCGGTGACGTCATCGCGGCGCTTGTGGCAGGCTATGTACACTTTAAGGCCACGTGAAATGTCGAATGATCGCTGGCAGGAGGTCACGGGACAGACCCCAGGTGCCGTGGATTGACTCATGCACCATCTGTGTCCCCTACCGACAAGCATGCATGTGGAAACGAACACGAAGACTAACGATCCCCCGATGGTGCAAGTGCTGTTCGTGAGCACCTATTAAAGCTGACATGGGACACGAGGGGGTGGTGGGTAGAGCCAGATTGGCAGGCCCCATGCATGGGCAGGTTGACTGTGCTATGATGACGGGACGCTGTGGCAGAATCCACGTGCTCCACCCCCTGTCTTTGTATTGGCTGCCAAAAAACTGGGGAATCAAAGCACTCAAAATATAATGCAAACCTTTCAATCGAGAGCCTGGGTTGACAATACTCTGAGAGCCATGATCTACACATAAAAAATATATGGGAGGGATGTAATCAGAACAGACATATACCAGATAAATGTGAGATATGGATTCCAATGCAATCCAATCTTTATTTCACCAAGAAATTGAAACCCATTCAGACCAGGAAGTGAACAAGGCCTTGTTTACAAGGGTGACCTGGATTTTATCAGAGATCAAAGCTCACGGAATCAATGACGTTACACTAAACTTGTAGCAAATAAGATGATAACAGAAAACGGTTCACAGCGACAATATCATAACGACAGAAAAAAATGCAAAATTATATGAATTGGCATAATTAGATCAGAACCATATATTAAAGAACACAACATAAAGTAAAAATTTACAGCAATTGCATCTGTGTTCCCTGAATGAGTCAGAATCAAAGATATTCCAAACGCCAATGAGAATGCAGTGCACCTGGAGAAACCCCACACGGGAGAGGGGGCAACCCTCTATGCCATGCAGATGGAACAGTTAAGAGTTCATATTTGCTGCACGCCTTCACTCTGGCAAGACAGGGTGTGGTCATTCCTAGACGCCCATGGGGAGCTTCACAACATTTGTGAGATCCACCAACCCACGGCTCCACGGGGCTGGAATAGCCACCACAGCCTGGCAACGCGAGGATCGGAGCAACGCAGGGATCGGAGCAACGCAGGGATCGGAGCAACGCAGGGATCGGAGCAACGCAGAGATCAAAGCAACTCAAGTATTCTAGATTTGAAGCTTTCGTGACTGCAAGGATCCATACTCTTTGGTTCTATTCGGTAAAAAATAAAATAACAAAAATCACGACGTTTTGGCCACAACACAAGTGGCCTTCATCAGGTGAAGGGACCGTGCTGCCATGAGGACAGTACGGTCCCTTCACCTGAAGGCCGCTTGTGTTGTGGCAGAAACGTCGTGATTTTTGTTATTTTATTTTTTACCTACGTGACTTTACCGAATAGAACCAAAGAGTATAACTCAAGTATTGTCCAACATGTTTGTTTACCCGTAGCATCCTGAGTTGCAAGGTTGGAAGCTATGTGAGACAGTTAATGAGAGAGGCACGTTCAGAAGATATTAAGGAAATGTATTGAGAGAACTGTCAAGGAAAGATATGAAAGATGTGAATTCAGACGAGAGATTTAAAGAAAATGATAGAGAAGGCAGAGATAATAAATACTGTAATATAGAGTTGAGAGCCTGAAGCTTGCAACATTTTTTTATAATTTAGCCGGCCTGACGGCAGCTAAATGTAAATTCCGATGTTTTACTGCGTTTACATTTCAGAAGACATACAGATTAAGTCCTGAATACCAACATCACAACGCGTGAAAGAAAAAATCACCCGGGCCTTCTGTATACTGTATTGTGTATATTGTGCAAAAACCATTAGCTTGGCTAATGTCCACAATAACCATGTCTATAAATGGTGAGAACTCCCATCAAAACGGATCGAGTGCAGTCGTGAAAAACAAGTTCATGGTTTTGATTTAAAGCTTTCGTGACTGCAGGGATTCATATTCTTGGTTCTTTCGGTAAAGTCACGTAGAAGGGAAACAATAAAGTAATAAAAGTATACAATACAATTTTATACTTTTATTATTTTATTGTTTCCCTTCTACTTTTATTATTTTATTGTTTCCCTTCTACGTGACTTTACCGAAAGAACCAAGAATCTAAGTTCATGGTTGTCTGGCCGATAGATTCTATTCCGGCTCACCTCTTATTATGGATAATATTGGTCACGAATGCCTTCCTACGTGCTAAACCGACACGTTCTCCCCGTGGTGGCGTGGATTTTTTCCTCCACATTTAATAACATCACGCGTTTAGACTATTTAGATGATTTTGCTGCTGTAGATGTCCTAAACGATCGGCCACTTTGCTGAGCCATTAATTGCGGTAGCCAGGTCGCTTTAAAAAAATAGGTTAATATCTCAGTGGGGTAAATATATACGCGTTTAGACTATTTAGATTATTTTGCTGCTGTAGATGTCCTAAACGATGGGCCACTTTTCTTGAGCCATCATTTGTTGTTAGCAGCTCGCTTTTGATAAATTAAGAGCTCAGTGGGCTAAACATCACGCTTTTGAAAGAAATAAGTTAATATCTCAGTGGGGTAAATATCACGCGTTTAGACTATTAAGATGATTTTGCTGCTGTAGATGTCCTAAACGATGGGCCACTTTTCTTGAGCCATCATTTGTTGTTAGCAGCTCGCTTTTGATAAGTTAAGAGCTCAGTGCGCTAAACAACACGCTTTTGAAAAAATAAGTTAATAGCTCAGTGGGCTTTGGGGGATGGTTTAGTGATGTACTTGTTTGTGTTAATATATATTTTATTATTTTGTTGTTTCCCTTCAACGTGACTTTACCGAAAGAGCTAAGAATATGAATTACTGCAGTCACGAAAGCTTTAAATCAAAATTTGGGTGATTTGTTTACCGTTCTTATACTTTAAACTCATTTCGTGTCTTTGTATTGTCTGTTGTTGTAACGTTCCTACCCCGGGCCACCAATTGGATATACTGTATGTAAAAAAAGAGCTTTATAGCTCATCGGATTTCTCCTGCAGTCTAAATAAATATTCTGATTCTGGGGAGACCGAACAATCGCTTTCGAGCTCCCTCTAGCGGAGGCCACTTTCCGCCAGCAGTGAAGGAAGCAGGCAATTGCAGGGCTGCGCCTGTATACATGCAATGTGCACACGCCGACATTGAACACACACGTACAGTACGTACAGTACATTGTTGGACTGTACTTAACGTTATACGTACTGTATATGTATGCGTTGCAATAAGAAATGGTTATAGACGTAATAAATGTATGCTGTCGATACTACATTCGAATAAATTAGCCGTTCATCCGGCTGTGGATTGACCATGGATGATGATGACGATGATTAACGTTCAGTATGCAGATGCTGTGCACATACTGAGCAGATAGTGGTTTATTACTATACTAGCTGTATAGTATAGTAACAGCAGTTACTCGTTTGCGGCTGACTCGACCTAGGGGAGGCCCAGGACCGGTTCAAATAATCGTCACCGGTGGTGGCCGTGAGTGGGAATCGAACTCGGGTCGCCGGGTTCGTAGCGCAGCGCGCTAACCACTACACTACAATGCGTTACGCTTCCACACACACATAGACACACACACAGACACACACACACAGACACACACATACACAACGCGCTAACCACTACACTACAACGCGTTACGCTTCCACATGCGCGGGTCACGTGACAGATTTGACTATACATTATTCAGCTCCCCCACCCAAAAAAACACAAATGTGTATTTTTATATTTTTTGCATGGTGTACAGTCTGGAAAGTACCCACATGCAAAATTTCAAGCTTGTTGCATGTCGGTAAGTACGGCTAAACATTTTGAACAGACGCACACAATCACAACTTTGCCTTTTATATATGTAGATAATTGTTTAGTTCGATACCTCGCTCACGCCCAAACGTCAGCGGCGATGATCTGAAACCGGTCCTGAGCCTCGGCCCTAGAGCAAGGGTCGTGTCTGTATCGAGCAGCAGCAGCAGCACTTGGGGAGACAAAGGCGGCCGGGTGTCGCCGTTCAGGCCTTCGTCAACCTGCCCCCAACAACAGCCTGTCCAAGACGTTACGTTGCGACCTTTGGTCTACACTCGGGTATTAACACACATTATTACAGCGCAATGTACGCACACTCACGTGCTTAACATGTTAATAATACACGAACGGACGTTGCGAGGGTCTTTATCTTTAGCGTGTACGCAGTGCGTCTTCTTCACACGGTGCGGTTTAACGCGTGACCACAGTCTATGTGAGGAGGTTTTTGTTTTTAAATCAGAATTTTTTTTTTTAATAAATTGTCAACAGCGACCGTGGCTCTCACCGGGATCTTGTTGTGTCGCCCTCACGTTTAAAAATCAAAGGCGGGGGTGGTGATGATGATGGTGGTGGTGGTCCCGTTATGTCGCCGGGGCCGAGGAGAGAGAGGCTCCCCGAGTTTCTCGCTTCTCGTTCTTGACCCGCAGCCCAAAAAATAAAAATAAAAAATCTTCACAATTCCCAGTGGCTTGGCAGGAAGGGTGCTGGTGGGGGGGGGGGGTGCCGTAATGACGCGAGGTGACGAGCAGCGCGTTACCGGCGCGCCCCGATCAAACGCGCACTTGTCAAAATTTAGATTCACAATCCCGAGCGGTTGTGACGGCGGCTTTGTTTCAGGGTGGTGGTGGGGGCGCCGTAATGACGCGAGGTGACGAGCAGCGCGTTACCGGCGCGCCCCGATCAAACGCGCACTTGTCAAACATTTAGATTCACAATCCCGAGCGGTTGTGACGGCGGCTTTGTTCAGGGTGGGGGGGGGGGGCGCCGTAATGACGCGAGGTGACGAGCAGCGCGTTACCGTCGCGCTCCTACCAAACGCGCACTTCAAAAATCTTCACAATCCCGAGTGGTTGTGACGGCGGCTTTGTTTCAGGGTGGTGGGGGGGGCGCCGTAATGACGCGAAGTGACGAGCAGCGAGTTACCGTTGCGCCTCGATCAAACGCGCACTTCAAAAAAATCTTCACAATCCCGAGTGGTTGTGACGGCGGCTTTGTTTCAGGGTGGTGGTGGGGGGGCAGCCGTAATTACTCGAGGTGACGAGCAGCGAGTTACCGTTGCGCCTCGATCAAACGCGCACTGGACCCCGCCTGTCCAGAGGGGTGATGTGGGTGGCACCGCCACTTAACGTTGCCACTGCTGAATGTGGTGGGATTCAAGCTACGGGAGCAGGCCGATGGTGATTGCTGAGCACGGGAGGAGGTTGTCGATTAGGTTCCAAGCCACGCGCCCAGCCGGCGGGACGGCCGCATCCTGAACACTGCGGCTTCGACATCGCTCACTCAGCTTGCCTGTCAATTGTGGGCGGCGACTCCACAGCGTGCTGAGGATTGCCTCGTGGCGTCTCATCCACCCGGCTGGTGGTTCGACTCTCAAACACTGCACGTCACAACGACTCACCCACTCACCACACTGCAGGTCACAACAGTACACACACCCACCCACTCACCACACTGCAGGTCACAACAGTACACTCACCCACCCACTCACCACACTGCAGGTCACAACGACTCACTCACCCACCCACTCACCACACTGCAGGTCACAACGACTCACTCACCCACCCACTCACCACACTGCAGGTCACAACGACTCACCCACTCACCACACTGCAGCTCACAACAGTACACTCACCCACCCACTCACCACACTGCAGGTCACAACATTACACTCACCCACCCACTCACCACTCTGCAGGTCACAACTACTCACTCACAACAACGCACGTCACAACATTACACTCACCCACCCACTCACCACACTGCAGGTCACAACAACTCACTCGCTCACCCACTCACTGACTCGACCACTCACTTACTCTCCCACTAATCACCCACCCGACAAACTCACGTACCCATCACTCACCCACTCACTCATTACTCACCAGCATTCACTCGTCCATGCACCACACTGCAAATCACAACTCACCCACCCACACACTCGCCCACTCACTGACTCAACCACTCACTCACTCTCCCACTCACCTACAAACTAACGTATCCACTCACCCACTCGCTTGCCAGGCCATCACTCACCCACTCACTCATTACTCACCCGCACACTCATTCACTCACTCACCACACTTGCAGGTCACAATAAACGAACTTTACGCAAGCAGCCATCAGTGGATCTGTTTATTCATTCATATATTGCATCTTAGAAAAAAAAATCGTCTCAAGACAGATAAATAAATAAAACACAAGGTTTAGTTTTTTTTTATATAAACTAGTTATTTTGTTAAATTACAGCGGCGTTCTTTATTAAACACGGCGAGAAAGTCTGGGGTTCAAAAGAGAGATGCGGGAATCTGAAATTATAGAAGCAGCTGACGTTAACAACGTAAAACTTGGGACGAATTATTTGGTTCATGCAGCTGCTGCGTCGGTTGCGGCGCACAAGGCACAGTGAACAACAACAACACAAATAACAACAACAAACAACTCGACACCTTCCTCGCTGTAATCGGCGACTTTCTGGAAATGGCCCTTGTGCATAGCACGTAAGGGAGTTTTGGGAAATTGTTCTTTGCCTAGGGCAAGGGCCGGGCAATCAAAACAAGAAGAGACATTTTTGTTCGAATTCGGTAACGAAAACATATTTCAAGAGCGCAATGCAAGTGGTGAACACGAGATGGTGGTCCTCAATAAATAAATATCACTCGACAGTCCTTCAGGAGCCGCAGGCTAACGACCTCTGCCCGTGGTGAACTGAACTCGCAAGGTGAACTGAACTCGCATGGTGAACTGGACTCCCATGGTAAACTGGACTTCCATGGTAAACTGGATTCGCATGGTAAACTGGATTCGCATGGTGAACTGGACTCCCACGGTGAACTGGACTCACGTGGTGAACTGGACTCCCATGGTAAACTGGACTCCCGTGGTAAACTGGACTCCCACGGTGAACTGGACTCCCGTGGTAAACTGGACTCCCATGGTAAACTGGACTCCCATGGTAAACTGTATTCGCATGGTGAACTGGACTCCCACGGTGAACTGGACTCCCACGGTGAACTGGACTCCCGTGGTGAACTGAATTCGCATGGTGAACTGGACTCCCACGGTGAACTGGACTCCCGTGGTGAACTGGATTCGCATGGTGAACTGGACTCCCACGGTGAACTGGACTCCCACGGTGAACTGGACTCCCACGGTGAACTGGACTCCCACGGTGAACTGGACTCCCGTGGTGAACTGGACTTTACATGGTCAGGGGTTCGGCAACCAAAATAATAATAAGAAGAGCCATTTATTTTGTTTCGAATTTCAAGATCCGCACTGCAGTCCTTTAAAGAGCCACTGCACGCGGCCCCCGAGCCGCACGTTGCCAACCCCCTGGCATCGAACCATCGAAATAAAATGTCCTAAAGAGAAGAAGAGCAATTCCCCAAACCGTCACCGGTTATTGACGAACGTGTCGATGTTTGTGTTGTTCTTTTACTGAACTCTATGGTTGCATCTCAGCCCAGATCTCACGCTTGAAAAACATTTGCCACTGCAAGGGATCGAGAACGTTCATGATGAGCGTCTTGATGGCGTGGCCCCCTTATTTCAGGTGTGAGACTGCCAGGCGTTGCCTGACCCCTGTTCTCGATGCCCCATAAATGTATTTGACATCCTGTAGACGTTATTCTGCATAAGCTATAGAATGTCAAACAAGTTTGGATATACCGTGAAGTATGTCATCATATTGCTTTACTCCGTATGCCGATACTATAGATATCCTCGGACACCCCTGCAAACGAGACGTCCGTCCATCTGAAGGAGCTTTCCAGATGATGTATTGTAATAAAATACAAAATACATTCAGGATCTGCGCTGGGACTGGCTTTATATGGGCTGCTCTTATGAATTAATTAAATGACCGATACATTCTCATGCTTTGAAAATGTTTAAAATAAAATGCTCGACAAAATAGCACAAAGCAATATTTGTAATGACCACAATATAATAACATCATATATTTAACACGTAGGCTTTCGCGACCAATATTATTCATAAAAAGGGTTTTTGGGTTAGATCGCATTATTTATATTCTGCCGAATTGCCCGCTGATGCTGGATGTAATTACCAGCGAAGCGTCGTATTCAAACTGTAAATGTTGTGGATTCACTCTTCAACACACCGGTGGGCTAAAGTAGTGAACTAATTGTCTTTTGTCAACGTGACACTTTTTTTTGCTGATTGGCCGTTTCGGGTGGTGGAGCGTTACGACACATTTATAAATAACGCGATCTAACCCAAAACCCTTTATTATGAACATCACATATATACTGTGTTGACATAGTATATATAAACACAGGTTATTTTCACTGTCCATTCATAGATGCTCAACATCTACACGCGGCAATAATTAAAAACAAGAACTATAACCTTATTCAATGGCATACATACATTGACGTGCATAATGAACAATACTGTATACATATATTGTCCACTGATGTATAAAGTGTAAGGACCAGGGATTTGTGATGAACCGGATTAAGGCATACGGTGAGACAGGTTATTCCTACAACGCGATGCGCCTGAATCAATTACATTAACAAGGAACTGAAAAGTGCGCAACGATGCATTAAGACGCACGTTTGGATGTATCGATGTAGAGAGAGAGAGGGGGGGAGCATATAGATCATATTGTCGGTTCAGGAATTTGGGGCGCAGACAGCACACAGATTGCCAGCTGGTGATGATAGCCGATGTGAAACGGCTTCCGTGTGCCAGAATGGCAGCCAAAGGAGACGCTGACCACTGCGGAGACGGAGCGACGAAAGATCAGTTCACGGGATGCAGGCTGTGGCATCGCAGGAACGTGGGCCATATCCTTGGCCTGGGGAGGCCTTCTTCATCCAGCAGTGGATAGACAGCGTCTGTTGATGATCGTTAATTGTTATGCACATGTATTGGGTAATAAATAAAAATATGGCCCTTTTAGAATCGGCAGCCGTAGAACAGGCCAGGCACGCGACGTTTTCCCCACCAATTTCAGCACGTGGGGTGTGCAGCAGTGAGGCAGTGGATAGAGTAGCGCGCTATGAACCCAACAAATTGAGTTCGAATCCCCACTACGGCTAATATCTGAAACGGTTCTGAGTCCTCCTACCCCCAATCTTCCCCAACCCACACTTTTAAAGAGTACGGAATGCGGAGGCTTTCATCCAGCAGTGGATTGACAAAGGGTTGTACAACAACATTTTAACACGTCGTCGGCTTTCGCGACCAATATTTTTCATAATAAAGGTTTTTGGGTCAGATCGCGTTCTTTATAAATGTGTCGTAACCCTCCACCACCCGACACGGCCAATCAGTAAATAATGTGCCACGTTGACAAAAGACAAATAAATAGTTCACTACTTTAGCCCACCGGTGTGTTGAAGAGTGAATCCACAACATTTACAATTTCTGGCAAATCGCCCGATGATGCTGGATGTAATTACCAGCGAAACGTCGTACTAAATTGTAAATGCTGTGGATTCACTCTTTAACACACCGGTGGGCTAAAGTAGTGAACTATTTATCTTTTGTCAACGTGACACTTTTTTTTACTGATTGGCCGTGTCGGGCGGTGGAGGGTTACGACACATAAATAACGCGATCTAACTCCACAAAAACCTTTGTTACGAACAACAACAACAACATCATGGTTCCTGACCGTTTTTGAAAATACCTGTTTCTGGAAATGTGTTTGTCTCCTCACGCAGTCTGCGCTCGGTGATTGGGGGCATTGGTTGGCGCCCCACATCCGCTGTGCTAAGACAACAACAGCGGCGGTTTTAGCTGTCAAGCTCTGAGCATGTGCCCGTCCCGCTACGGTTCGAGTGCGGCACTACGAACCCGGCGACCCCGAGTTCGACACCAGTGACGATTATCTGAACCGGTCCTGAGCCTCCCCTAGGTCGACTCCAGCCTCAAATTGATACCCGGTGCGGTGTGTAAACATCGCCACTAGGGAGACAAAGGCGGCCCGGCGTGGTGTTGGCCACCGACCCCTTCGTGTGCCGTGCCGGCCTTCGTAGGTGCTGCTCGCTAACGGCCCTTGCCCCGGAAGTCTGGTGAGGCTGTTTGGGGGATCTTCGTCTGTGGCTTTGTCGCACTGCGCTCTCTGCACCCATTAAAGCCTCTTCCGCGCTCCTACTCCAGTGGCAAACACGCCCCAGACACTCCGTGATGACTCTCTTGGACCGCAACCACTCATTTGTGGCGCTCCGAGACATAATGAGGTTGGTTCTTAAAGAAAAATTATTTCACCCCCCCCCCCCCAAAAAAAAAACTGCGCCAGTGAAAAGTTTGGACACGGTCGGTTCTCGTGAACAGCCCAGTTATTTTGTTTCAGACCACGATGGCTGTGGTAGAGCTTCTTCCAAATCCAGAGCCCAATGAGGAACACGGCAACGAACGGTGTAAATCATCCCATCCACGGATCCCATCATCCGTGCTTATCCAAGCATCAATCCCCTCTTGTCCGACGGGAGGAACTCAGAAAATACACTATCGCAAAATTACCATTGGCGTCGAAGTGGAGAATATGCACGTAACTACTATCAATAAGCAGTCATGCATGTCGACACGGTTTGCTCGTGCTCAACCTGTGATGCTGAAATTATGCACTCCCAACGAAAAGGCTGTGTGGTTCACGAAAAGTATTTAAAGTATATACTTTTATTTTTTTGAGGGCAGATATATGAAGGAAATAGTATGCTTATTTATTCGGATAATACATTGTGCTTTATTCACCATCGCTTATCAACATTCTATAGCTTCTAAAGTATACAGGCTTCCACGACAACTCATTTCACGTTAAATAGGACCCACTTCAAAGTTAGAGATTTGTTTGCTCTCCAAGTAAGGGTCAGTTGTAAATGTTCGCTCGATTTTCACTCCTCCTAATTCGTGACTTTCACGCGGATAAGAGGAGGAATGGCGTACATCCAGGAGGCCAATTCACATTGGGTCAAGTATGTGGAAAGGCTGGACAACTGAAAGGCTGGATCGGCTGGATAACTGAACTAGTAATTAATTGGCACGTTTTCTTTAGGTGGCAAACTTTACTAATTGTCTGTGTTGGGTGGTGGCAGGTTTAACGACACATGTTTACTGGTAGGGACCTCCTGGTTACACCAGCCCACAGGGGATTATTGTGTCCGTCCGTCGTGCATCCAAAAATGGGAGGGGTGGGGCTAGGTGGAGAGGGGAGGGTGGGGAGGGGCTGGGTGGGGAGGGAGGGGCTGGGTGGGGAGGGTGGGGCTGGGTGGGGGGTGGGAGGGGTGGGGCTGGGTGGGGAGGGGCTGGTCACCCCGTGGTGCCCTTATAAAACTCAACGTTTAACCTACTCACGCCGGCTTGTGCCCGCCCTCACAGTCAGGCATATTTGCGGAATACACCACACCGCCGTTGACCCTGGCCATTGACCGAGCAACCCAACGTTCCTATCAGCTCCCTCCGCAGGAATGTGTTATCGCGATCTAACCCCAAAATGAATACCAATCTCCCCTGTCCAGAGGTGTAATGTGGATGGCAATGCCATCGCACCACCACTTCAACAAGTCACAATGTGACTTGACATTTATACGCTCCTATATGCATCACCTTTCATACAAATGGACAGAAACCTGTCCTAGGAATGTCAAATGCCAAATCATACTTTTCTAAACCAATTGTAAATAAGTTACCAAATGTGTCAGCTTAATGATTTGTTAATCAAAATATTTTTTGGGTTAGGCCATGTAATAATGATCTGGCCAAATGTTTTGTCGTAAGACCCTCCACCGCCCAGCGTAGCCAAACAAATTAAACTGTCACGCCGGCATACAAGCGTTTTAACGTAGGCCCAATTATTGTTGCCGCCCATAGTGTACAGGCGACATGGCATGCGCTCTTCCGCCGTGTCCGTGTGTACAGAGTAGCCCGGCAGTCTGTCAGCTGCGCCGAGAGCAAACGCAGCCGCGTCTCTTTCGCAACGCTCTTCACTTTTTAGAAACAAAAATTCTTAACATTTTTTTAAAATGTTCGGCCTTTCGCCACGTCCGAGAAGAAAAGTACTAAGGAATTTTCAAATGTGTTTGTTTTTACTTAATAAATGTTTGTAAACGTTATGTTAGGTTACAACGACGTTTGTTAAGGTTATTTTCATGTATTTTCGTGGTCAGTTTTGGTATTTTAATGGTATGCGATGGGTTTCCAGGAACGGAACCCCAATGTATAACATTGCGCCTATGGGAAATTAGGGTTCGACTTACGACGGCCTCGACTTGCGACTGTCGTACAGGAACCAGTTAGGTTGTAGGTGCCGGGGTGGCCTCTATGTTACACCTCTTTCGCACCGTACGTAGCAAGCCGTGCTCATCGGAGGAGCGGCAGGATGCGTGTTCATTCCCCACGCTCATCTGACCTGGCTCCCAGCGGCCTCCGTACGTTCCCACGGTTAAAGAATCACTGTGCGGTGAATGTAACTTCGTCGTCACGACGAAGGGCTGCGCTCTGCGAGCGAGCAGGCGTGCGGAAGAGTCGCATGAGCGGCAAAACAAAAAAAGAGTTTCCCTAGCCCTGTGGTATCGGCAGTCCGAGTGCATTGCCAGTTTCAAGGTCATTCGTCACTTTTACATCACCTCACATCAGAGGGATGACGTGTGTTGATTAGGATGCACATTGCAGTGTGTGTATTAATATATCGTGAACATGTGGTTGGCGCACTGTGCTGAAAACCTGAGTGTGATTCCTTGCCAGATTGAAAACTCATTTCTTTAGAACTGCTTTTGGAATTTAGTTTGTTGTCTTTCCCCCGCACCTCCGATTTAGCACGGTTGGCTACGTACGGTGCGAATGAAGTTCAACATGCAAATAAAGCTAACATCAGAGGCAAAGATCAAGATTTTATTCTGGGCCTCCTATAGATCGATACAGCCTTAAATGAGTATTCGGTGTGGTGTATGAACAACATCGGTACAGGGGAGACAAAGGTGGCCAGGTGTGTTGCTGAACATCGCATTGCTACTTGTGGTGTTCGCAGGCAGTCCTTGCCCCAACGATCTGTTCGGCTATACTGGGGGAGAATGTGTTTGCTGTGTATTCGTCTATTTGTGGTTTTCGTTTGTGCATTAGCGTGCACTGCGGGTGTAACAGCGTGCGGAGTGGAGTGGAGTGGTGGCGGCGGGGACGCGATGAGCCTGGCACGCTGCCGTTCGATCCCCACCACGGCTGACGCCAGTGGCGAGTGACATCTGGAACCGGCCGGGGCGCCGCCACTTCGCCGACCGGCGCCGACCGGCGGGGAAAGAACGGCACGGTTCGGGTCACCACCTTTGGACTGAACAAAATGTGGACGAAGGGCCCCACGCGTGGAAGAGGTGCGCACCTCAATGTCTTGTTTCGCGTTTTTGTAAAAGTCGTAACCGTCGCGTATCCCCGGCACACGGGCGTTTGGGATGAATGGCGTTGGATCGCGCAAGTGGCTATTTGAAGTTCCGTCGGTGTTCTGGAATGATGGCATTGCGTATGAAATCTGTGCCGTCTGCTCGTGTTACACAGAGGTGGCAACCCCTGAGCGTGGGCAAACTACTCCCGTGACTGACAAAGCCTAGAAAGGCCTTCAACCAGCGGTAGATCAAACATCTGAAAATTTTTACATGATTACTTATCATCATCATCATCATGTGTGCGAGTGTATAAAATGGGTCGGTCGAGCCGGTGGTGCAGTGGTTAGTGCTCGGCACTACGAACCTGACCGCCTTTAACTCCAATACTGGCCACGGCTCCCATCAGTGGCGTTTGATATCGGAAGGGTCCTGGGTCAACCTCTCCCCCTTCACCAACCCCGCACTGACCGGCATGGTGAGCTATGTTCTAACAGGTCACACGGCCTACATGAAGTGGGGAGACCTTCATCCAGCAGTGGACTGGCAAAGTGCTGAAAATAATGACATTACAGTGTTTAAGAGGCCATGCACGTGAGGTTATTTTGTCAATCCACTGCTGGATGAGGTCATGGTGGGGGGGGGGGGGGGGCGGGGGGGGGTGTGGGATGTCGCAGTCTTGGTTTGAAGGTGGGGAGCATAATCGTGGAGGGCTAGAAGTGCAGTACAACAGTAAGTTTCAGTGGATTGCCCTCTGCTGCTCAGCACGAGTGGATTTATTATCGAATGTGTGGACAGTACATGAGTGCATCGTTCAGTGTACGCAATGATGTTCGTGTGTGAACGTATAATGAGGAGCGGCAGTGAAGTGGTCAGCGTACTGTGCTACAAACCCGGCGATCCCAGTTCGATTCCCACACACGGCCAACACCAGAGACGAATATCTGAACCGGTCCTGGGCCTTCACTTTGGTCGACTCAGCATTAAATAAGTACCTGGTGCGGTGTGTAAAACATCAGCAATGGGGAGACAAAGGCGGCTGGCTGGGCGTGGTGTTGGCCACCCACACCCCCGTGTGTTGTGCTACTCGCTAACAGCACTTGCCACAAAAGTTGATTAAGGCTACACGGGGGATCTTTGTCTTTTTCTTGCATGAACGTGTCATGGGGAGCGGTAGTGTAGTGGTTCGCGCACTGCGCTACAAACCCCTGCGACCGCAGTTCGATTCCAGCTGACGGCCAACATCAGTGGCAAATATCTGAACCGGTCCTGGACCTCCCCCTAGGTCGACTCAGCCTTAAATGAGTACCTGGTGCAATGCGTAAAACATCAGCACTGGGGATACAAAGGCGGCCGGGGCTTGGTGTCGGCCACCCACCGCCTCCTGTGCCGTGCCGGCCTTCGTAATTGCTCAGCGAACGGCACCTGCCCCAACAGTCTGTGAAATGGATATTGGGGGCAAGCGTTGTCTTTAGTGTCCTGGGGCGTGAGAATGGCGACGCTGTGAGTGTGCGCAAGGCTCGGCACCTTCACTCGGCTCCCTTCGGCGCCTTGTTTTTCTTGTTGAGAATCTTGAGCAGGGACTTGGGCATGAAGTACGGCTTTTCCTCCGAGCCGTCATTCCTCTCCAGGTCTTCCACTGCCGGGGCGAGGGTGGGGACGCGTCATTCTAAACGCCGCCGTCAAGCCCCCGCAACGAGGGCATCGACGCGACCACAGCACCGCACCGCCAGGCCCCGTGCAAAATTTCAGGACGTGCGCGGCACTCGGCCGATTCACTCCCCGTGACTTCCTCACCAGCGGTCTGTGGCCTCCTCGTCACTCTTTTACCGCTACCTACCTCGGCGCTGTCTGTCCCCGTGAACATCACCCATCGATTCCTCGGCCCACGTTGAGGACTCCCGGGCTGACTTGTTTCGTCTCAGCCATAGTGGCATCAACCGCCGCATTGGAGGTCACGACACGCTCACCGAATCCCGCACTCGACTGCTCACCCACCCACCCACTCGCCACCACAATGCAGGTCACAACGCTTCTCTGGCTGCGTCTTCCCTCGTGCTGCTCCACTTTGGGGATTCCCTTCCATCATCATCGCTTTTCCCCCCAAGGTCTTGTAATAACCTTGCTCGATTCAAGAAATGTGTTCACTCCTATCTATTGCAAGTTTAATAGTGCTGCTTAATCGCTGACTTCCGGACGTTTTTTGAGCATTGCTGCCTTTGCTCAGCAAACGTCTTAAACCAAATCACCCGTGTGAAAGGGAGATGTTGATATTTTTAAAGGCGCACTTTACAGATTTGGGGAGGGGGGGGGAAGGGGAGGGAATCACTGGCCGAGGTCAGGGAGGAAAGCCCTTGAGCTTGGACATCAACCAGGGCATGGAGTCGGCGGCATGGACGGCTCGAGTGGGCGGTGACGGAGTAGGAGCGACCTCCCCACCGAGCCGAGGTTGGTTGCCAGTTTTGCCAGGAGGCCTCGGTCGCTGGAGAGCCGAGCACGTGAAGGGGAGCAGGGGGGGGATGAGTGGGGCAGGCGTGCAGCGGGGGGGAGGGTGCGCTGAGCGGGGCAGTTGTGCAGCGGGGTGGAGGGGGGCAGATTATTGAGACAGGCGTTGGAGTCGCACCCAGAGGTCTGTGGCCAGTCGGAAGACCTAAAGCCAGACGGTGGGATAGCATAAGGGCAGGGCTTGGAGGTCGGGTGTTGAATTTGCAACGACTGTGGGATCTCGCAGAAGGAAGGAAGTGATGGAGATGATAAAAAGTAATATTTTGTCCGTGCCAATTCTTATGGCGTAAGTGCGCTGTGTTTCACAGGCACAGTCTGCAGTAGTTTCACAGCCGGGGCCAGTGCTGCGATGTAATTTGCAGGCAATTTTTTTTTTTACATTTGACAAATTTGGACCACGACGCCGGCACACAATGTCCTGCCCACTTTATAATGACGTTACGGGGACCTTTATAACGTCCGCTGTGAAGCAGGCGTCACAACGTATTTCACGGTCAAAGGAGCCGCCGTATTGACCAGGGGCGGCCTGAACGGGTTCAAAACCGTGAACCTCGGCAAAAAAATAAAAGCGGGCAAATGAACTCCCACGAGGGCCACGTCCACGTCGAGGAGCGGTGGCATCGACGGACGTGACGACCTCTCGACCTTGCGCTGTTGCACCAACGCTGGGCGACACTTACGGAAGCAGAGAAACAGCGTGTCGACGCACATGCCGTAGACGCTGAAGAATCCGTGCGCGATCATGTAGGAGCCCACGACCACCGTCTGTTTGAACCGCAGCAAACGTCAGGGTCACGACCGGCCAAGTTGTCGACTTTAGTTTGAGTTCTCAACCAGGTGTGAGCACGCAAGAGACGAGGGGATAGGAGTCTAATTCTCAAGAGCGACCTGCGTCTTTATCGAAATGACAGAAGCAAAAGAAAGGGATGAAAAGTACAGCAATTAAGCAAATAGAAATCGGGGCAAAAACAACGGTCACATGACAAAGCAACGTACATTTGTCTTAATGTTATAAAATATCGCTGGCACATCGCATTGCGGGAAGACTCCTTCATGTAAACATCCTATCGCTTCCAATGGTCAGTCTGGTTTCCAATTAGACCAGCTTTGTCAACATTAGTTTTTGAGCTGTGTTTATTGGTTGATCAAGTCAACTACTATAATAACATTTTTAACCCGCCTACTTCTTTGGGGTTGATTCGTCATCACCAATCACATCCCGTCCAGCGGCACACATGGCCACACAGAGGTCAGAATTGTTTTTTTCTCTCCACAGATTATTGAACAAGCACTCACATGTTTCACGAATAAATAGAGATTGACTTGTCTCGGTATTTTCATTCCTACGGATGTATTATCAACGTCCCATCCTGCCCTCTACCGTCCCTCTCTGTGCCACCCTCTCCTTGCTATGCCCCCTTGCCCATCCCGCTGCCACTCCCTACCCCTGCCCTCCAGCTTCGACCAAGTCTACCCCAACCCCTATCACTACCCCTATTACTACCCCTATTACTACCCCTATTACTACCGCTATCACTACCCCTATAACTACCCCTATCACTACTCCTATTACTACCACTATCACTACCCCTATTACTACCCCTATTACTACCACTATCACTACTCCTATTACTACCCCTATCACTACCCCTATTACTACCCTATTACTACCCCTATCACTACTATCACTACCCCTATCACTACCCCTATTACTACCCCTATTACTACCCCTATCACTACCCCTATTACTACCCCTATTACTACCCCTATTACTACCACTATCACTACCCCTATTACTACCCCTATTACTACCACTATCACTACTCCTATTACTACCCCTATCACTACCCCTATTACTACCCTATTACTACCCCTATCACTACTATCACTACCCCTATTACTACCCCTATTACTACCCCTATCACTACCCCTATCACTACCCCTATTACTACCCCTATTACTACCCATATCACTACCCCTATTACTACTCCTATTACTACCCCTATTACTACTCCTATTACTACCCCTATCACTACCCCTATTACTACTCCTATTACTACTCCTATCACTACCCCTATTACTACTCCTATTACTACCCCTATCACTACACCTATTACTACCCCTATTACTACCCCTATCACTACACCTATCACTACCCTTATTACTACCCCTATTACTACCCCTATCACTACACCTATCACTACCCTTATTACTACCCTATTACTACCCCTATCACTACCCCTATTACCACCCCTATTACTACCCCTATTACTACCCCTATCACTACCCCTATTACTACTCCTATTACTACCGCTATTACTACCCCTATCACTACACCTATCACTACCCTTATTACTACCCCTATCACTACCCCTATTACCACCCCTATCACTACACCTATCACTACCCTTATTACTACCCCTATTACTACCCCTATTACTACTCCTATTACTACCCCTATCACTACCCCTATTACTACCCCTATCACTACACCTATCACTACCCTTATTACTACCCCTATTACTACCCCTATTACTACTCCTATTACTACCCCTATTACTACCCTTATTACTACCCCTATCACTACCCCTATTACTACCCCTATCACTACACCTATTACTACCCCTATCACTACCCCTATTACTACCCCTATCACTACCCCTATTACCACCCCTATCACTACCCCTATTACTACCCCTATTACTACCCCTATCACTACCCCTATCACTACACCTATCACTACCCCTATCACTACCCCTATCACCACCCCTATTACTACCCCTATTACCACCCCTATTACTACTCCTATTACTACCCCTATCACTACCCTTATTACTACCCCTATTACTATCCCTATTACTACCCCTATTACTACCCCTATCACTACCCTTATTACTACCCCTATCACTACCCCTATTACTACCCCTATCACTACACCTATCACTACCCTTATTACTACTCCTATCACTACCCCTATCACTACCCCTATTACTACCCCTATTACCACCCCTATTACTACCCCTATCACTACACCTATCACTACCCCTATTACTACCCCTATCACTACACCTATCACTACCCCTATCACTACCCAAACTCCTCCTTAACCTCTCCTCTCTGCTCTCCCAACTATCACCAGAACTCCACGGCAACTTTTCTAAACAACACTTTTTGTTTAAATCACAGCCACTTTCATTACATGTACCTTTTTTATAATTACTGTAAAGCGCGTTGAATGAAGCCGTTATATAAATCTAGATAATATAAAATTTGGCTCTTTATTTGCATTTTAGTTTTGGGTCCCCCTCCCCCCAGAGATAGATACAGTAGTAAAACCTCGGTCTTTCGGTATTTGTTAAATTCGTAATTGGGGATGATTCGGCACGGCTGCGCTTTGGGCACACATAAGGTGTCCTAGTAATCCGCCATGAGCCGAATGGTCCCATTGCTGCATACACGTGGAGCGACGCCTCGCGCCAATACAAAAACAATGTCTCAGTCTGGTGGTGGCGCACGTGGTGAGTGTGGTGAGTGTGGTGAGTGTGGAGCATGTGGTGTGCGTGGTGAGTGTGGCGAGTGTGGTGTGCGTGGTGAGTGTGGCGAGCGTGGTGAGGGTGGTGAGCGTGGAGCATGTGGTGAGCGTGGAGCATGTGGTGTGCGTGGTGAGTGTGGCGAGCGTGGTGAGGGTGGTGAGTGTGGAGCATGTGGTGTGCGTGGTGAGTGTGGAGCATGTGGTGTGCGTGGTGAGTGTGGTGAGAGTGGTGAGGGTGGTGAGCGTGGAGCATGTGGTGTGCGTGGTGAGTGTGGCGAGCGTGGTGAGGGTGGTGAGTGTGGAGCATGGTGTGCGTGGTGAGTGTGGTGAGCGTGGCGAGCGTGGTGAGTGTGGTGAGTGTGGAGCATGGTGTGCGTGGTGAGGGTGGTGAGCGTGGAGCATGTGGTGTGCGTGGTGAGTGTGGCGAGCATGGTGAGTGTGGTGAGCGTGGTGAGCGTGGAGCATGTGGTGTGCGTGGTGAGTGTGGCGAGCGTAGTGAGTGTGGTGAGTGTGGAGCATGATGTGCGTGGTGAGTGTGGTGAGCGTGGAGCATGTGATGTGCGTGGTGAGTGTGGTGAGCATGGAGCGTGGTGAGTGTGGCGAGCGTGGTGAGTGTGGTGAGTGTGGAGCATGTGGTGTGCGTGGTGAGCGTGGTGAGTGTGGTGAGCATGGAGCGTGGTGAGTGTGGCGAGCGTGGTGAGTGTGGTGAGTGTGGACCATGTGGTGTGCGTGGTGAGCGTGGTGAGTGTGGTGAGCATGGAGCGTGGTGAGTGTGGTGAGCGTGGTGAGCGCGGCGAGTGTGGTGAGCGTTGGTGCAGATCCATCGCTTTGGACTTGACCTTGTGTGTGTGCACTCTGTGCAAGCCAACCCTCTCACACAAGTCGTCTACACCTACATCAAGAAGTAACAGAAAGGGACTGAAGTATAAATCCCTTTTTTTTTAATTGGAGCAGGAGGCACTGGGGAGTAACCATTGTAAATAATTCGGAATATTGGATAATTCGGCAAAGACAGAGATCCATTACGTGTCGTTTTAACGAGGGTTTACTGCACGAGATCTGGTCAAGGATCTCATACAATACATCTACATGTATCCCGACCTCCTGCGTCAACATACCATCATCTACAGATGTAAGGCTTGACAATTCAAGGGACGCTGCTGACCTCTAGCTGCCACACGCAGAAATTCAATTCGCTGGCACGTTTTGTAGATTTTTTATCACGTGCCAAAAAAAAATCAATTCCCATTTTAAGACAAAGCAACAGCGAGGAGATTTCGCCATGCGATGGGGGCGGTGCTCATCTCCTGTCCACGGCCCTCAGCCAGCTGTGGAAATTCCACATTCCTTCGACGAGCAGCGAGTCTTTCTATCGGACAACCGCTGCTGACCCCCCCACAAAGTGGAACTCATTTTATTGATACTGGAGGCGATGATGGACCGAGTCAACTCACACAACCAGGATTTGAACTCACAACCTTGCGACTGAGAGCTGCTCGCTCTGTATGTACATTGAACTTCTTTTGCACCGTACATAACCAACCATGCTAATCGGATTTATGAGTATGTGGACATTTTACAAATGCGTTTTAAAACCTATTTATACGCTTCTGCTTATTCAAATTTAGTCAATGTAGTAAATAGATTCTTAAAATGTATGTATAATATAATTATTTTGATGATGAGTGTCTGCTGCTGCTGTGTCCTGTACAGCACTTTGAGATCCTTGATGAAAAGCGACATATAAAATGGAATAATTATTATTAAGGCCAACAAACTGAACACAAAACTCACCCGGCTGGTTTCAATCTCTGCATCTGCCTGCCAAGTAACACAAAATCGAATCTCTGCGTGTTTGTATCCAGGTGTATAATGCCACCCCGGCCTCTCAGCGCCGCGGCACGTCGGCTCGCTCACCACTATTGGAACCCAGTAGTAGTTGAGGACGAGCGGCGTGTCAGGAATCATGATCCTGTTGCTGAAGAAAAAGAAGGCGAACACTCCTAGGAGGGAGGGAGGGAGGGAAACGACAAAAGCCAACACAAATTTTTAAAACTCAGATCGGCAACGAAGCAGAGATGGAAATCGGCGCAAAAAAAAACAAACTGAGTCACACGTTCAGGTTATTTGGGATTATGTGGCCGCTGTAAATGTCCACGTGACGAGCCACTTCGTTGAGCTGCCGTTTGTGGCCAGCTCGCTTCTGAAAGAGAAGATAGAATAGCTCAGTGGGCATTACCTGTTCAAATAAACGTAGATGTATATTTTTAGTGATGTGCTTACCTTTCTTAAACTTTGCACTCCTATCGTGTTTTCATATTGTTTGTCGTTGTAACATTCTGACCGCGTGCCCCTACTGGAAATCTGTAAAAAAAAGAGCTTTATAGCTCATCGGATTCCTCCTCAAAGTCCAAATAAAGATTCTGATTCGTCACTCTGGAGTGGATTCCAGCCTCCGTGACCACCACCACCACCACCACTCTGCTGTCCACATGGGCCAACACCTCTCTGGACTCTTATCAATAATAATGTAAACGTATAAAGCCCCCCCCCCCCTTCCACTCCCAAGTGTGGGGCTGCCACGATTCCCACCGGAGACAAAGCCTGGACGTGTTTTCTCAGCCAGCACTTGTCACACAAAAACTGTGCCGCCGTTTTACTGCAGTGGAGTTCAACACAATCCCGAGCTGTCTTGAAGGGGCAACACAAACATGGGGACCGCAGAGCCGTCCACGGCAATACGAGGAGGAGGGGAGAACGCTGTTTGCAGGTTCTATTTCTCGCAAAAATCCGGATGGATGCAGAAAACAGGAACGATTCGTAGTTACTTCTGGGCGACTTTGGTGTCCTTCCCGCGCACCTCCGATTATCATGGGTTGGCTACGTACGGTGCGAAAGAAGTTCAACATGCACGCATGGTTGTCCGCAGAATGACCGGAGATAACCAGAATGCCAGCTGTGTAGTGAGGGGAAGATACCGGTGACGATGAGACTGCGAGAGAGGATGTGTCACGTGTGCAAGGAAAGGAAGACCTACTGCAAGACGATGATAAGACTGATAAGACAGGGCAGTTCAGGCAAATCTGACACTGATTGACGTGTGCAACAATAGGAGCCCATGGCAGATTTCGGGGAGGGTGGGGGAATGAGACTGCATCAGTGACCGTCAAAGGTCAGTCGTTGACTGTGAAAGCCGTGGGATGGGTTGCTGCTTCTTGGTTGTTGTTCGGGTTGTGTGTTGTGTCCGGGAGTTGCTTACCCACTCCGCCCACCACCACCAGTTTTCCCAGCAGCAGCAGGAAATCCGTGACTTTGTCCAACACCACGACCCTGGCACAGAGCATCGTTGCCACGGTTAGGGTCGCGACCTTTTCTGCCGTAGACCAAAACTGTACGCACAGTCAGCACCAGGTCTTCCGTCGAAACTGTGCAGTTTTACCGTCATGAAGTTGAGCGCAATGCCGGTAACAGATCTTGGTACAAAATCATTTCCTGCCACCTGAACAACAATGTTAATTCCCGGAGAGGTGGCAGCCCTAGTGGGTGGGTGCGTTGAGTGGGTGAGAGAAAAAAGTATTTGATCCCCTGCTGATTTTGTACGTTTGCCCACTGACAAAGAAATGATCAGTCTATAATTTTAATGGTAGGTTTATTTGAACAGCGAGAGACAGAATAACAACAACAAAATCCAGAAAAACGCATGTCAAAAATGTTATAAATTGATTTGCATTTTAATGAGGGAAATAAGTATTTGACCCCTCTGCAAAACATGACTTAGTACTTGGTGGCAAAACCCTTGTTGGCAATCACAGAGGTCAGACGTTTCTTGTAGTTGGCCACCAGGTTTGCACACATCTCAGGTATGGATTTTGTCCCACTCCTCTTTGCAGATCTTCTCCAAGTTGTTAAGGTTTCGAGGCTGACGTTTGGCAACTCGAACCTTCAGCTTCCTCCACTGATTTTCTATGGGATTAAGGTCTGGAGACTGGCTAGGCCACTCCAGGGCCTTAATGTGCTTCTTCTTGAGCCACTCCTTTGTTGCCTTGGCCGTGTGTTTTTGGGTCATTGTCATGCTGGAATACCCATCCACGACCCATTTTCAATGCCCTGGCTGAGGGAAGGTTCTCACCCAAGATTTGACGGTGCATGGCCCCGTCCATCGTCACTTTGATGTGGTGAAGTTGTCCTGTCCCCCAAAGCATAATGTTTCCACCTCCATGTTTGACGTTGTGGATGGTGTTCTTGGGGTCATAGGCAGCATTCCTCCTCCTCCAAACACGGCGAGTTGAGTTGATGCCAAAGAGCTCCATTTTGGTCTCATCTGACCACAACACTTCACCCAGTTGTCCTCTGAATCATTCAGATGTTCATTAGCAAACTTCAGACGGGCATGTATATGTGCTTTCTTGAGCAGGGGGACCTTGCGGGCGCTGCAGGATTTCAGTCCTTCACGGCGTAGTGTGTTACCAATTGTTTTCTTGGTGACTATGGTCCCAGCTGCCTTGTAGTTCTCGGCTGATTCCTCACCGTTCTCATGATCATTGCAACTCCACGAGGTGAGATCTTGCATGGAGCCCCAGGCCGAGGGAGATTCACAGTTCATTTGTTTCTTCAATTTGCGAATAATTGCACCAACTGTTGTCACCTTCTCACCAAGCTGCTTGGCAATGGTCTTGTAGCCCATTCCAGCCTTGTGTAGGTCTACAATCTTGTCTTTGACATCCTTGGAGAGCTCTTTGGTGTTGGCCATGGTGGAGAGTTTGGAATCTGATTGATTGATTGCTTCTGTGGACAAGTGTCTTTTATACAGGCAACAAGCTGAGAATAGGCGCACTCCCTTTAAGAGTGTGCTCCTAATCTCAGCTTGTTACCTGTATAAAAGACACCTGGGAGCCAGAAATCTTTTTGATTGAGAGGGGGTCAAATACTTATTTCCCTCATTAAAATGCAAATCAATTTATAACATTTTTGACATGCGTTTTTCTGGATTTTCCTGTTGTTATTCTGTCTCTCACTGTTCAAATAAACCTACCATTAAAATTATAGACTGATCATTTCTTTGTCGGTGGGCAAACGTACAAAATCAGCAGGGGATCAAATACTTTTTTCCCTCACTGTACCTCCCAGTCAACCGTGGTCTATCACAACTGTGCGGCCTACTGTAATAAGGCAAAGTTCAACACGATACTGGATACCGGATCTCGGTACAAATCATTTCCCGCACCACGCCATCGCCGCCAATGACGCATCACGGTGGCCGCGCAGGTTCAGAGCCTCAGCCTCTACTCACCGCACGATGTTCCTCATGAGCAGCGAGAGCGCGTTCTTCGCCGACACGCAGAAGTTCTTTCCGTAAATCGCGATCTGCGCGAAGGGGACACGCGTGGCGTTAGCGCGGCGCCACGAGCGGTCGCAGAGAGCCCCACGGGAAAATTGCGCCGGTGGAATGCGTCGATTATTTTTATTGTTGTTGTTGTTGTTGCCGCCGGCAGGACGGCCTCTGTTCGGGGGGGCTCGAGAGGCTACATTCGGTCAGACTCTTCCGCGCCGAGTGGACCGCTCGGAGGATTTGGGTGTACTCACGCTTTGACCCCACCGCGCGTGACCTGCCGATCGACTTGAGCTGGAGCCCTTTATACTGCTGGGTGGGTGGGGGTGGGGTGGGGCGGTTTAAGAACTCGCACCGTTGTTCCAGCTGCCGTGCCGTGAGGTGGAGGAGAACCGGTGGTGTACGGGTTGTTGATAACCGGCACACCACCGCAGCTCGCCCAAGTCGGGTTATGAAGGTGGGAAAGTGGCTCTGACTTCCTGGATCTTATTCTGTTTCGCTACGTCACGTGGTGGAGGGGTTTTGTTGCGACCCAAATTTGGCCAGACCATTGTGGCCTAACCCAAAAATCTATTACGAATTACGTACCAAGCGTGCACTAATGACATGCCAATGTTATGTTAATTGACGTATGGACACGGCACAAGACAGATGGGCAATGTGATGGGAGACAGAGCGAGATTGACAACGATCGAGCCTTCCTGTGCACGATGCCACGCGGACGGAAAGTGAGTAGCTGCTGGCGTGCGGCTGCGTCACCATGATGTAGGCGTTCCTGTTGATGAACTTCATGAACTTCTCCAGGCACCAGAAGCAGCACTTGAGGCAGCAGAGCAAGAATTTCAAAACCCGGTTCTCTGCCCCTGTGAGGCAGAAACAGGAGGCACGCACATATCACGTCCGTGTGTCTGTGCAGTGGGGTTCCTATGTGTGTGTGCATGTTGTCTGTCTCGCTAACAGCACTTGCCGCAAAAGTCCGTTACAGGCTATACGGGGGATCTGTGTCTTTCTCGTCTACGAGTATGCACAAGTTGGAGCGGTCGTGTAGCAGTTAACGTGCTGTGCTATGAACCCAGTAACCCGAGTTCGATTCCCACTCAAAGTCCATACCGGTCACGTTTATCTGAACCGTTGCTGGGCCTCCTCTAGGACGACTCAAGCCTTGAGTACTTGGTACCTGGTACCTGGTACGGTGCATAGACATCAGCATTTTCAGAAATAAAGGTGGCCAGCCTTAATAGGTGCTCGCTAGAAGCACTCTTTGTGTGAGCACAAACTTTTTGTGTGAGCACAAACTTTCTTTCTGTATTCATGTTTTATTACTCATCAGTAAATTGGACCTCACTTTAAAAAAATATATACATATAAACACCTCCCCTTTCACACGGGGGTGATTTATTTTTTGTAACACCTTTGCTGCTGAGCGTAGGGCCCAAAGGCCCAAAGCACCATCAAGCGGCCAGCGACAAACAGCACCGTGACAGTTGTAAGCGGTGAGAGCGGAACGCGTTTCTTGGATTGAGCTTGGGACGAGCGAGAGTCGATGGGAGGGGATTTCTGGAGTGGAGCGGTGCGCCGGAAGAAGCAGGAAGAGAAATGCGTAGTCTGAGCTGCGGCATGGAGGATCAATTATGTGGAAAAGCGTATTTATTTATTACTTAATTTATTCCCTACTAATTTTCATCATGCTATTCATTGTGCACGGTTCGCAATTTATTTTGCCCAGCCGGTGTTAGCCGCCGAGGTCGTGACGGGTCTATCATTTCGTTCCCCTCGCTCTGCGCACCCCGTACCGTTCTCGCTCTGCTGTCTGGCGTGTCAACCGGTGGCGACATCGGCACGTAAAATGAGGAGCGATTGATTGAGCACACCGTTGACGATGCCAGGACTGTTCCTGTCGTAGGTGTGCTTATGTCCAGCTGCCGCTCCAAGGGCACAACGGAGAGCTCACTGCGCTACGAAGTTCAATCCCGCGTCACGGAGTCGGCGTGGGAGCGAGATGCGCGGATCGCGACGTCGCTCGCTTGGCTTCGACTTCCCGTTTGTGTTCGCGAAGGTGGAAAATAAAAAAAAAATTATTGACTGTCATTTAAAATATTCACCATCTAACCCATACCCCGTGGTCGACCTTACCCGCCGGTCGCGGAGGGGAGGGGGAGGTAGCGAGCGGAGGGGATTGAGTGGGGGAGGCCCGAAGCCCTGTGCCGGGTCGCATAAAACCACGTTTTTATTTTCCTATGAGAAGTCTTCACCCATGGCTGCAACACGGGAAGGGACGTAGAGTCAAGGATTTAACGCATGGGAAGATAGAAAGGACCGTGAGAGGGAAGGCATTCTGGGATGGATGTCCCCAAAATGTACAAAGATAAGGGCACGGCCCAAGGTCAGTGGCAGGAAGAAAGATGGAGGAGCGCCGGTGCAGGAAGGGGAGGAGAAGAGATGATGAGAGGGCGATGATGGTGATGACAATGATGAGATGGAAGGGAAGGGAGGGGGAAAGAAGGACGGAGTGAACAGAAGTGAGCTGCACGGAGTGGCGTCTGCTCTCACAGTGGGCGGCGGTGAGAGGGATCTGTAGTGTAGGTGGCCATACAACAGTCACGTGATTTACGGGAGCCTTGAGCTGATTTTAACATGCAAAAGATATGAATTAATAAAATATTCGCTAAGCTTGTTTCATGGAATCAGGCCCTGGTGCTAAGCGAGGATCTCAGCGGGGACGTTTGCTGGGCCGGCAGAATCCGGTGGAATCGCGGTGGCCGTGACTCCGGAAGGAGAATCCGTTGCCGACTCTGCCGTAGTTTCAGCGCCGCACCTCTAAGCTTGTGATCCATGTATTCCAGGATGATCCGGATCAGCTGGATGATGGCGATGATGAGTGCCCCGAAGGCCAGGGAACCGGTGTGATACCTGTCCGCGACACAACCAACACTCATTCATATACTCGCAGACTCAACTCAAAGGGTCTCCTTGCTAGCCTGAGCAATAGGGCAGTGCACGTCTCCTCGAAATAAATTAACTGTGCTCATTGGTGAGCAGACGTAACTCAAAAGCTCTCGCCACATTAGTCATCCAAATTTAAGTATTCCAGTTTATTTTGTTGAATCGGATGAGACGACACGTGACCGGAATGAGTCTCATTTGCAATAGTGAACCGGGGCATTAGTGTGCCAGTAGGTGGCGATGATTGCTATGTTATGAGACCTCCTTTGCCAGTAACAAGATATAGGAATAGGTTTTGCCCTTTTAACTGGCACAAAAACTGACACCTTTATTCAAGGCATCATGTTTGCAATAACCACAACACAAGCAGTCAAAATGCAAACAAAAGAGACAACTCTAATAATAATATGCACTGTCCTTGAATTTGATTGGTCCACACCCGAGACGGCTTTTCTTAGAGCCTAGTCTCCATTGGTGTTGGACCAGAAGACGCCAAAAGGCGTACAACTCAAACAACAGCGCACTGAATAAAGGTGTCAGTTTTTGTGCCAGTTAAAAGGGTAAAACCTATTCCTATACGATTGCTATGTTGCAGAGATTCGTGGCTGGAATCCGGCAGCCCGCCATGGTTATTACCGCTGGTGAATTGACCATAAATGACGTGCCGTCTGCTTCGCAGTGGACGTCAAAGATCCCGTGACGTCATTCGCAGAAGCAGGCAACTGTGTGCCGGCGTCACGGTCGAACGTTGCCAAATTCGATCATCGCTCGCAGATGACTCAATCGGGATAACACACACACACACAGCACCGATCAACGTCCCCTACTGGCAGACCAATGCCCGCTTGTCGTCGAGGTTCCGATTCATCTTGCCCCACACAGGAACAGCCGCCGCTCAGGGTGCCAATAGCAAATGTGTTGTGAGTCACTGATTGCGTGGAGTGCTCTCCACAACGTGCCAGCGTAAAGGGCACGATGTAACTAACAAATCAAACTATGAAACGTTATTTTCTTGTTTTTACCAGGTAAAGCCCACTGAACTGTGTAACTCTTTTTCAGAAGCGGCCTGGCCACAACCTGTCTTATCATGTGTACATTTAAAGAACGCACGTTGATACTAAATGTGACGGGAAAAAACCGGAGGACCCCGGCGAAAAATGCACGTGACAACAGGGAGAAGGTGCAAACTCCAAATATACAGGAGTCAGGGTCGGGATTGAACCCACGACCTCCTGCATGTAAGTTGAGCGAGTTAACATCTCAACAGCGGGCTCGTGGCACATGCAGGTAATTTACTGCACCACAGCCAAATAAGTGACTTGTGTTATCCAGTCAGATATTTCCCTTACATCTTTGGTGGAGAGGTGGAGCAGGGGTTTGTTAAGGCTATAGTGGTGGATCTTTTGTGGGAGAGGATGCTCATTGATAACGATACAGTACTAATCCCAAGTTTGAGGAGTGGTCCGTCTAACGCACTTCAAACCCAGTGAGACCTGAACACAATTTCTGACCACGGCTCGCACCCGAGAGGTCCCACACCTGAACGCTCTCATGAAGCTCGCTGCCACGGGGAGGGCTGGCAGGTCCCGTGGCTTGTGGAAGGCCCAGTAGTAGGAGGCGAAGGCGCCGGCCAGCGTGCACTGGCCCAGCGCGATGACGAAGTTCATGAGCCACAGGAAGGCGAACACGTTGAAGACCTGCGCCATGAGGCCGGGTCGTGCCGGTGGCCGTTAGTGCGTCGATGTTGCTCTGCAACCTCGCGGTGAAATTTTCATTTGAGGCTTTCGCGACTGCAGGGATTCATATTCATATTCTTGGTTCTTTCGGTAATAAATAATAAAATAATGATATATACATTATAATAAAAAAACACTTTTTTCAAATTTTCTTGTTGTGGTTTTTCACACCTGATGATGATTGCTTGTGTTGCAGTCGAAACGTCGTGATAATTTTATTGTTTTATATTTTTTTTATTTTATTGTTTCCCTTCTACGTGGTGACTTTACCGAAAGAACCAAGAATATGACCTTGCGGTGAGTTTCTTTTTCTGTACAGATCTCCGCTGGGGTCAGGATGCTCAACTCACAATCGGGAGGCCAAATGCCAGTCGGATTTTGGTTCAGCCTCCCATCATTATCATCATCAATGGTCATCATTATAATCATCACCATAACAGCAACCGTGACAATAATCCAGCCCTAGCAACTTGCGCAGACCCAAACGCCCACCCGAAACTATCCCTAACCCCAAACACTGACCTCAACCAGAACTGCGGCCCGGGTAAAGCAAACGCGACTCTAACTTAGAACCCCAATGCAACTCCAAACCCGACGGCCGTGTTTTATCGACCGAGGCAAAAACGTTGAGAGTGCGTGGCCAGATGCCGGGAGTGAGCGGCCCGCTCGTGGTGCAACGGTGTGGGGCGATAGCGCACCTGGAGCCAGGGCAAGTTCTTCTCATAAACGCTGTCCCCGCCGTAGTGCAGGAACGAGCAGCGAGCCTGCGGGCAGCTCGCCGAGCTGAAGTTCTGGCCAAGCGAGAAACAGAGGGGTGACGTTTTTGTCGGGGGCAAAAACCGCGTCGCTCGGGGCGTAACCGAGGGACGCGGCTGCCCGTCGTCCGGTCAGCGGCTCAGGCGGACGCTCGGCGGCGGAGCGAGCGGCTCGCGATTGGAAGTCCGCGAGTTCGCGTCCTGCTTGGGTGGGTTGACTCAGCCCGTCATCATCATGAAGTGAGAACCATTTTGTGGCAAAGTCAACGGCGGATGTCACGCGGAGTTTCCGCCCCTGCCATGGGAACGTGGAATCTCCTCCGCTGGCTCAGAACTATGAACGGGAGATGACCACCGCCTCAAATGCTCATTTGAGGCAGGAAGTCACTTTGACTTCGAGTACTCTGGTAACATGGTAATGTGTAATCCCATTACATTAAGGGTAATGCATTGATGCTTTACTCCTCAAAAACTGTAGTGTGTGACCTGACTTCCATGCAAAGCCAATGGACAGCACCAAGGGATATCCACGTGGTGCGTGAACCTCAGAACTGGGGAGACAAAGGAGGCCGGGTGTTGTGCTGTCCACGTAAGCTCGTGCATTGCGCTGGCCTTGATAGACATTCGCTAATAGCATTTCCCCCGACGGTCTATGTTGTGTGTGTCTCTCTCTCTGTGTGTCTCTGTGTTGTCTCTCTCTGCTTGTGTGTCTGTCCGTGTGTCTCCGTGTCTGTGTTTTGTCTCTCAAAAATGTAGAAGTTCACTAAGTTTGTTTTCTACCTGATGACGATTGCTTGTGTTGCAATCGTATTCTATAACGATGTGTCTGTGTGTGAATGTGTGTGTGTGTGAATGTGTGTGTGTGTTCGTGGGGAGCGATAACGCAGTGGTTAGCGAACTTCGCAATGAACCTGGCCATTCGAGTTCGAGTCCCGTTCAAGACCAATAGGTGACGAATGTCTGAACCGGTCCTGGGCCTCCCCTAGCTCGACTCAGCCTCAAATGAGTACCTGGTGTGGTGTGTAAACATTAGCATTGGAGAAATAAAGGCGGCTGGGCGTGGTTCTGGCCACAGCACCCCATCGTGTGCCGTGCCGGCCTTAGTCGGTGCCCGCTAACACCACTTGCCTCAACAGGTTGTTGAGGCTACAACGGAGGATCTTTGTCTTTGTGTCTGTAAAAACAACCCCGAGCAGACGGTAACATCTGGAAAGCACACCGGGTGAGCGGTGCCTTGCTCGGTAATTTCATTATTTCGTTCTTAATATTGTTACTAACACTTATTAACCCACAAAGACCCGAGTCTCAGGGCAATTTGTCAGGAGCTTTCTTGCGAAATGTTTGTTTCCGGTAAAAGGGTGTTACTTTATTTGTAAAAATTTAGATTTTTCTGTTTGTTGTTGTTGTTTACCACGACGCCGCCACTCGAGGGCCGTCTCCCCTTCAAACAAACGTCTTCGCGCGCTTCCTTGACGTCCGCTGCGAGGCGGCGCGGTGCAAGGGAAACTTTTTCCCGTGAACGCACCTCCAGAAATTGGGGGGGAGGGGGGGGGTGGTGGTCTCACGCTCGGGTGGCAGTCTGCGTTGCTGATGTTCCTGCATTCGGCGGAGGCACCAGCCTGGTCAACGAACACCTTGTGAATGGGTCTCCCGGACGTGCTCAGATACCTGAGCGTTCCATTAAGGCTCCTATAATAATAATGACGATGGTGATAACAATGAGAGTGGCAACGATGATAATGATTTGGTTTTGATAGAGCTGTCTCAAGAGAGCTTTACACGCAATAAGTTGCTGGCATCACCATTCCTGTCACCCCCTTATCAGTGCCCTACCTTATCACAGACCAATTTACACCTTATTTGGTCACCCCGTGCCCCCTGGTAAATCTCAACGGTCATCCTACAAAGTCCCATCACAAGGCAGAAACACAAACAAATATACAACATTTCTAGATTTAAAGCTCTCGTGACTGCAAGGATCCATACTCTTTGGTTCTATTGGGTAAAGTCACGTAGGTAAAAAATAACATAACAAAAATCACGACGTTTCGGCCACAACACAAGCGACCTTCATCAGGTGAAGGGACGAGACTGTCTGGAGGACAGCGCTGGAGTGAAATATAGACAACATTTTGATTTAAAGCTTTCGTGACTGCAGTAATTCATATTCTTAGTTTTTTCGGTAAAGTCACGTTGAAGAGAAACAACAAAATAATAAATATATATTTTATTATTTTGTTGTTTCTCTTCAACGTGACTTTACCGAAAAAATTAAGAATATGAATATAGACAACATGTTTTTCCCCTGTATTGAAGCGGCTGTTATGCCTTATTCACCTGAAAACTCAATCTCCCCGTACAAGCATACAAATAAACCGTAAGGGTTCACAGCTATGCATCACGGTATACAGTACTGAACTTCGTTCGCACCGTATGTAGCCAACCGTGCTAATCGGAGGTGCGGGGGAAGGCGAATAAAAACACTTGAAAGTGCACCCCCAGTGGCAGCTGTCCCTGTGCGGCACGAGGCGACCCACACCTGGCGGGCACGCGGGCCCTGGTCTGCCAGCAGGGAAGAACGACAGCTGTGCGTAATCCTTTTTGAGTAAAAGACGACGTCACGGAATCTCTAGCGTCCACTGTGCAGCGGACAAGCGCCAATGTCGCCGAGGTTCACAGCCCCGAAGTAATAACCGGGGCGGCCGCCGGCCTTGAACCGCGAACTTCTGCAACAAGTGGTGAACGCACGCTCACGCACTCCGCCGACCCTGTCTACTGATCGCTCAAGCGATGCACGCAGAGCTCTTTTATCTCATTCCGACGGCGCGGCTCGGCTCGGCGAGATATTTATTTATTTTCCAAACGAAGACGGGCCGCCGCCATCGTCCGCTCCGCTGGCGAGGATACAGCGCGGTGATGCCCCAGTAGGCGACGCACACGAAGAGCAGCACGAAGGTGACGAGCGGGTAGAACAGCGACGACATCATGTAGCTGATGGCTCTGGCGGGGCGGGAAGGCAACGCAGAGGAGGGCGAGATGTTAACTACCTCGCCTGGTATGCAGGAGGTCGTGGGTTCGATCCCGACCCTGACGCCTGCTGCTGCTGTATATTTGGAGTTTGCGTGTCTCTCTCTCTCTCATCATCATCACGGTATCTAGGAGATGTTAACTACCTCGCCCGGTATGCAGGAGGTCGTGGGTTCGATCCCGACCCTCACGTCTGCTGCTGCTGTATAATTGGAGTTTGCGTGTCTCTCTCTCTCATCATCATCACGGTATCTAGGAGATGTTAACTACCTCGCCTGGTATGCAGGAGGTCGTGGGTTCGATCCCGACCCTGACGCCTGCTGCTGTGTATTTGGAGTTAGCGTGTCTCTCTCTCTCTCTCCCCGTGGTCTCGTGGTTTTTCTCCGGGTCCTCCGGTTCTTTCCTCCGCATTTAGCGTCTACATCACGCGATTATTTGGCCGCTATAAAATGTCGCTGCTATACAATGTCCACGTGATAAGCCACTTCGTCAAGCTGTCATTTGAGGCCAGGTCGCGTCTGACGAAGAGCTGCATGGCCCAGTGGGGCCTTACCCGGTAAAATAAAAAACAGAAGAGGAATAGATCAGCACAAAAAATGCGCAGTGGGGAGCACAGGTGGTGGATCAGCCACTCATCACAGGCAGTCAACTCATAACACCTGGGGTCTATCCCGTGGCCTCCTGCCAGCAGCAAGTCTTCGACGCTTCACATCATGGGCTCAAAGTGAACCTATCCTGGCACAAGCGCCAGTTAGTGGTAAATAGCGGCTTTTGTTGTTGTTGTTGTTGTCGTAACAATGCACGGTTGTACACAGAAACGCACACACGTGTGTACACACGTGCATGTAATACAAGAGTGTGTGCATGTGTCCGTACATGTGGGGAGCGGTGGTGTAGCGGTTAGCGCTACGAACCCGGCGATTCGAGTTCGATTCCTGCTCACGGTCGACACCAGTGACGATTATCTGAACCGGTTCTGGGCCTCCCCTAGGTCGACTCAGCCTAAAATGAGTACCTGGTGCGATGTGTAAACTTCACCACTGGGGAGACAAAGGCGGTCGGGCGTGGTGCCGCCCACCCACCGCCTCGTGTGCCCGTGCCGGCCTTCAATAGGCGCTCGCTAACAGCACTTGCCCCTACAGTCTGTGGAGGCTGTATGGGTGTCTGTGTTTGTGCAGGGAGAGGTCACCTGCTCGCCTCGCGGACCAGCGCGATGGCGATCAGCAGACGCTTGCGCAAGAAAATCAGGATGAGCAGGATGAGTGTCTCCACCACGGCCAGGATGATCACTGCGCACAGCAGCAGCAGCACAGACACAGGGGGGAGTCTCGGTGCCAGTGTCGCAGAGTCAAGGTCACAGAGTCAAGGTTAGTGTCACAGAGTCAAGGTCAGTGTCGCAGAGTCAAGGTCACAGAGTCAAGGTTAGTGTCACAGAGTCAAGGTCAGTGTCACAGAGTCAAGGTCACAGAGTCAAGGTTAGCGTCACAGAGTCAACGTCAGTGTCACAGAGTCAAGGTCACAGAGTCAAGGTTAGTGTCACAGAGTCAAGGTCAATGTCACAGAGTCAAGGTCACAGAGTCAAGGTTAGTGTCGCAGAGTCAAGGTCACAGAGTCAAGGTCAGTGTCGCAGTCAACGTCAGTGTCACAGTCAAGGTCACAGAGTCAAGGTTAGTGTCGCAGAGTCAAGGTCAGTGTCACAGAGTCAACGTCACAGAGTCAACGTCAGTGTCACAGAGTCAGGGTCAGTGTCACAGAGTCAAGGTCAGTGTCGCAGAGTCAAGGTCACAGAGCCAAGGTCAGTGTCACAGAGTCAAGGTCAGTGTCACAGAGTCAAGGTCACAGAGTCTAGGTCAGTGTCACAGAGTCAAGGTCAGTGTCACAGAGTCAACGTCACAGAGTCAAGGTCGCAGAGTCAAGGTCAGTGTCACAGAGTCAAGGTCAGTGTCACGGAGTTAACGTCAGTGTCACAGAGTCAAGGTCAGTGTCACAGAGTCAAGGTCACAGAGTCAAGGTCAGTGTCACAGAGTCAAGGTCAGTGTCACAGAGTCAAGGTCACAGAGTCAACGTCAGTGTCGCAGAGTCAACGTCAGTGTCACAGAGTCAAGGTCAGTGTCACAGAGTCAACGTCACAATCACGTAGCAGAGGCACACAGAGCCATCGTCAGGTAATTATAATCAACGCCAGTTCCACAGAGTCGATGTGTCAGCATCACACTGACACACTCAACGTTGTTGCCCTTCCCCCACACCACCTCCAATTGGCTACGTACGGTGTTAAAGAAGTTCAAAATACGTACATACACTCATGCGTCACGGAGCAATAGTAACACTGCTACACTCAGTCAGAGTCAGTGGCACAGTCAGTGACACAGTGTCACACAGTCACACACGCTGTGAGAATGTGTGTGCTGTGATTGTGTGACACTGTGTGTCACAACCACGCAGTAACACGGTGTCACAGTGTCACACAGTCACACACGCTCTGAGAATGTGTGTGCTGTGATTGTGTGACACTGTGTGTCACAACTACGCAGTTACACACGCTCTGAGAATGTGTGTGCTGTGATTGTGTGACACACTGTGTGACTGTGTGTCTCACAACCACACAGTTACACACGCTGTGAGAATGTGTGTGCTGTGATTGTGTCACACACTGTGTGACTGTGTGTCACAACTACGCAGTCACACACGCTGTGAGAATGTGTGTGCTGTGATTGTGTGACACACTGTGTGACTGTGTGTCACAACAACGCAGTCACACACGCTGTGAGATTGTGTGTGCTGTGATTGTGTGACACACTGTGTGACTGTGTGTCACAACAACGCAGTTACACACGCTGTGAGAATGTGTGTGCTGTGATTGTGAGACTGTGTGTCACAGCCACACAGTCACACACGCTGTGAGAATGTGTGTGCTGTGATCGTGTGACACTGTGTGTCACAACTACACAGTCACACGGTGTCACAGTCGCATTGACCGTGACTCGACAGCACGTGGTCCGCGTTGTGATCTGCGTCCTGAGCACGTGACGGAGGCGGCGTGCTGCGCCCTTACTGAACGCCAGCCACGTGTCCCTGTACTGCAGGTACACGGACAGGTCCGTCTGCAGGCCGACGTCTGTGAGTTTGAGATCCGCTCCAGGCTTTCCCTTCAAGTTGTCGTACTCCCGGTAGCAGTGGTAGATCCCTGCGGGGGGTTGGGGGCGGGGGGGAGCCGTCAGTGCACTGAGGATCGAACCGAGGGACTCAGCGGTGCTGCGCTCATCCACACGCGGGTCTAGAAACTTGCCAAGGAAGGGGGTGGGGGTTGAGGGGGTGAGGGCAGTCCTCAAAATCCAATCGAAGGCCCCACGTGAATAATAACAAAATTGGATAGACAGTGTGGTCTGGTACAGTTCTGAGTGGCTGCCCAACCGAGGTAGTCTGTGTGCCCAACTCGGGCATTATGAATCTCCCAAAGCCGGTTCAGGGGTTGAGGTCGGGGTAGATTTCGCCAGCTGTCCTGTGCGTTTGGTGGCAGGAATCGAAGTTGTACCGAGACGTGGCACCGCTGTTGCTGCGTGGGACTTCATAGCAGTCAGTCGGCGGCTGCGCGGCGCTGGTACCGATAGACCTGGTGCTGACGGAGAAGTCCGGGGTTTTGTACCGTATCCGACCACTCCCACGAGCCCGATGATGATGGCCCAGATGAGGAATCCGGCGGTGAAGCGCAGCAGCAGGAGGAAGAGAAGGCTCACCACCATAGCGATGACCAGGCATCTACAGAGGAATATTAATCATCGCCATCGTCAGCAGCAGGATCAGCAGTAATATCGTCGTCGTTAGCAGAAGAGTTCAAGCTTCAAGGATTCTAAGGTTACTCTGTTTAGCCCGAGACCAAAACGAGTCTCGTTTGCGTGAATGACTTGGGGCCATATAGAGGGGCGATGTCTCGAAGCGTGGGTGAGTTGTCCAACTTGGACCGTCACGTGACGCTGGATCACAGTGGCCTCCTCTTTGCGACTGACGCCAATGGATCTATCGCGCCCGCTGCTCTAAAGAGGATGGTGCGCGGTGTTGTGGTTCATGACAGCCGCAGTGGGCGAGGACCCAGGGGCCGACCCGGCACACGCAGCTGCTGCTGCTGCTGGTGGTGGTGGCGGGGCGACGTCGCTCGGCTGGCCTGGGAATGCCCCCAGGAAGAGCTGGAATCTGTGTATAGTGTAGTGTATAGTGTAGTGTATAGTGTAGTGTATAGTAGTGTATAGTAGTGTATAGTAGTGTATAGTAGTATATAGTGTAGTGTATAGTGTAGTGTATAGTGTAGTGTATAGTAGTGTATAGTGTAGTGTATCTTGTATAGTGTAGTGTATAGTAGTGTATAGTGTAGTGTATAGTAGTGTATAGTGTAGTGTATAGTGTAGTGTATAGTAGTGTATAGTGTAGTGTATAGTAGTGTATAGTGTAGTGTATCTTGTATAGTGTAGTGTATAGTAGTGTATAGTGTAGTGTATAGTAGTGTATAGTGTAGTGTATAGTAGTGTATAGTAGTGTATAGTGTAGTAGTGTATAGTGTAGTAGTGTATAGTGTAGTAGTGTATAGTGTAGTAGTGTATAGTAGTGTATAGTGTAGTAGTGTATAGTGTATAGTAGTGTATAGTGTAGTAGTGTATAGTGTAGTAGTGTATAGTAGTGTATAGTGTAGTAGTGTATAGTGCATAGTAGTGTATAGTGTAGTAGTGTATAGTGTTAGTGTAGTAGTGTATAGTAGTGTATAGTGTAGTAGTGTATAGTAGTGTATAGTGTAGTATTGCTGGAGTCCTTCGGCAGTGAAAGGGAGGTGTGGACCGCTCTACTCAAAACGCTGCCGCCGCGACCCACATCAGGACAAGCGAGTTGAGAAGCGAACGGACACCTGCAGTGTGAACCAGAACACAAATATATTTGTGTGCTGTGAAGAAGAGCCGCTGCGCACAACATCGCCAATTACTTCATTGTGTTCCCCATTGGAACCTCCTTTGTCAGTAGCAAAATCTGATAAAATGTTTTACCCTTTAATCTGGCAACAAAACTGACACTTTTTTAATACATTTTCAGAGTTATGTTTTTTGTTTGCATTCCGACCGCAGGTATTGTGGTCAATGCAAACATGACTCCTTGTAACAAAGGTGTCAGTTTTGTTACCAGATAAAAGGGTAAAAAAACCAATGATCAATTACACGTGTTTTTACGTGTTGAGTTTGCGTTGTTGTTGTTGTTGCTAATGCCTTGTGCACTAATGCCAATGCGGCAGCATCACCAAATTGTCTGCATGGCGGACCTATGAGTTTAATCTCTTCATATGCATGGGTTTGCTGTAAAATTGCAGTTTTCCTCCAACATAGGAATCAGTCAAACGTCACAAAGCAAGATTCTCCTGCAAAATGAATCTCATGAATCGGAGAAGCTTTTTCTGGTGAATCCGATGGCTTCTATTGCTGTTGACGACAATAATAATTTCGACTTAGAACGCGCGCAGTGTTCGATCGCTGTCGAAGAGAGAAAACGACTCAAGAGGCATGAGGAGGATCCACGGACGAGTGGGTGCCAGCAATTGCCTAAGCTCTGCGATCCTTTATATTAAGGCGTTACCTGCCAATTAAAAACCACTGCTACTTTTATTTAACCAGGTAATTTCTCTCATTGAGCTCTATAGCTCTTTATCCAGAAGCGGCCTGGCTACAAATGATGGCTCAACGAAGTGGCTTTTATCACGTGGAAATGTATTGCAGCCAAATTACTCTAAGCGCGTGACGTTGATTGTAAATGTGGAGGGAAAAAAAACGGAGGACCCTGAGAAAAATCACGCGACAACGGTGAGAGAGAGACAACTTGCAAACTCCAAATATACAGCAGGTGCCAGGGTCGGTATCAGAACCCACGACCTCCTGTATAACAAGCGAGGTAGTTAACATTTTGCCACCGTAGCTACAATTAATGAATGTGGGAGGAAACCTGAGCATCCGGAGAAAACCAAAGCGTGCAAGGGGGAAACACTCTATCCCAGAGAGGCAGAACAGCACCTCCGATTAGCGCAGTTGGCTACATACGGTGCGAAAGAAGTTTAAAATACGTACATACACAAGGTTCAGTTCACATGTTGTGGTGTACCGCCGTCTCCTGGCAAGCCAGGGTAGAGCATCTCAACTCCCACGGGAAGGGAGCTTCACAACATTTGTGAAGTGATTCACCAACCCACGATGTCTCCAGAGTGCCGGATTACAGGCCACGTGCGTAGCCACCACCGTGCCATGATTGGCGTAATACGTAAACATGACATTTACCTGCAGGGGATCAATAAATGAAGTGAACTCACATGATGATCCAGTACCAGGACTTGGTGAAATCAGAAAATATTTTCATTCCCAGGTCACGAGCATTCAACACACCGGCCAAGTAACTGGAACAAAATAAAAAAAAATATTATTATCATGACAAAATTAAAAAAAATATATAATCCACAATATCTCCATGTAAAAAATACCATTTTATAACTTAGTCCATCCAGGGGCGGAGCCAGGATTTCAGGCCGGGGTGACATTCAACAAATTTTAATTTCAAGAATGATTAGAGAGTCAGGCTGTTGAACTAGACGCCATCGGTTGCACGGAGTCTGCCAGACCGAGTGTCGTACACTTATACGCAGAATGTCACCCCTGTCACCCCCCCCCCTGGCTCCGCCCTGAGTCCATCCATTTCTTGGCTTTCCAGACGAATATTATCCAGCAGCATTTGTTCAAGCAAGGAATCTCCGGACCAATTTCGACCGTCTGGGACTTGTCAACAAACTTCTGCGACAGGCAGAGACCGATGTTTGTTGTCGGTGCCATTGCTATGTAGCATGTTTCAAACGTCACCCTGGACACCCTTCCAAACGAGACGTTCCACTTGGAGCGATTGTCCACGTGAAGTGAAACATTCCAACAGAACAAAAGACCAAAATAAATGGGACACCTTTGGGGCTGTCCATAAATGACGTCACGCGATTTTGGACCATTTTTGACCCCCCCCTCCCCCTTCGTCACACGGCGTCATAAAAAGTCAGACCCCCCTCAAATATGACGTCACAAAGCTCTGCCCCCCACCCCCAAAATGAAACACGCTTCAAATCGCCTTAAACTATTGTCAATGTAGCGCGTATTTAATGTGGCGCTGCACTCTGATGTTGTAGGAGAAAACATTTATTAAAAAGTCTATTTAATTAAGTAGAACGTGTTGTCTATATTTATTTCAAGTTGCGCATTCTGATGTGACGTCACATTTCTCAAACCCCCCCCCCTCCTCCATCGTCACAAATCGTCGCAAATGTCTGACCCCCCCCCCCCGCCGCCCCCCTAGGTGCGTGACGTCATTTATGGACGGCCCCTTAGTCGGGTGGTCGTGGCGGGGTCGGAGGGAGGAGTGGGGGGGGGGGGAGGTGCACGGCCTTGAATGTCGGGGTGGCTGTGGACCCGCCTTACCAACAGCGGTGAGAACCCCCAACGTGACAAAATTAAAACACGCGTGCGGATTCACCCCGCGGCGGCGACAGAGCACCGAGGCAATGGCCAAGCGGCTCGCTCCGACCGCGTCGGCGGCGGGCCTCGGCGCGCGGCACCGTCCCCTGCCGCCGCAGCCCGCGCCCGCCCGGCCGCCAGCTTACTTGCTGGCCTCCTGCACCGCCTCTGCCGACGCCGTGCCGGAGGGCGTCTGCACGCTGCCGCTGCCGTTCACCGTCACGTTGCCACCCGTCGAGTCGCTCAGCAGCACGGGAACGCAGCGGTTCACGACTTGCGGGAGACACGCCGGGGGGGAGGGGGGGGAGGGGAGGGAGATTAAGCGAGTGCGGGGTCTGTTGGCATATGTTATAAAGGGGCACTACATTTTTGAAAACACACGGAAATATTAAAACACAAAGTTTTTTGACTTGCATAGTGAAGTAATTGTATTTTTTTAAATATTGCTATACAGCCAGATAATACGACAAATCGCTAACCTTAAACACCCAGTCGTCCGTAAAAGTTGAAGGTGGTATAGTACTATAGTAATAGAGCAAGTGCAGAATCACTGAATCGGAATTGATAGCTTGAAAGCATTTGGCGTGGGGCCCTTGAAAGTGCGGGGCCCATAGCTACTACTTGTAGCTACTTGTGTTACTACATGTGTAGTAGCTACTACTTGTAGCTACTTGTGTTACTACATGTGTAGCAGCTACTACTTGTAGCTACTTGTGTAGTAGCTACTTGTGTAGTAGCTACTACACTTGTAGCTACTTGTGTTACGACATGTGTAGTAGCACAAGTAGTAGCTACTACTTGTAGCTACTACTTGTGCTACTAGGATCATCCGGCACTGGGTTCATCGCTATTCCCGCTGTGTTTTTTTCTTCTCGCCGTCTCTCTCATATCATCCCTCTCACTCGCACTCGGAGCGATCCTGCTGCGATACCTCGAGTCGCTCGCGAAATCGCGCGCGGCTTTCGCAATTCCGGCCGTGAATTTTCACGTATTCCAGCTCGAGCACCCTCAGCGATGTTGTCGTCATTTGCTCATTTGCTCGGTCAGGGCTCTCGTCTCTGGTCAAGTGGGAGCGCCTCAACTGAACACGTTGTAAGGCCTTCGCGAATCTACATTATTCGTAATGAAAGCTAATTTGGGTTAGATCGCGTAAATGCAAATGTGTCGTTAGCCCACCGCCGCCTGTCCACAGCCAACACACAAGGTTTGTCACGTAAACAACACGTGCCAACAAGTAATGAGGGTTTTTCCCCTTTTTTCTGGCAACAAAACTGAAACCTTTTGACGAGGATTCATGTCTGCATTAACCACAGTACCTGCAGTCAAAATGCAAACAAAAAACATACTATGATATTTTATGATGCATTGTCCTTGAAACTGATTGGTCCACACCAAGGGACGGCTTTCTTTTGAGCCTCGACCCAATTGGCTCTGTTGCCATAAAAAAGGGGAAAAGCCCTATTATTACATTTTGGTACTGGCAAAGGAGGTCTAATGACGTGCCAACAAGTTACGAGTTCAGCACACCGCTTGTGCGTTGGGAGAGTAAACCCCACAACATTTACAACCTGAGCACGACGTTTGGCCGGCAATCACAACCAGCTTCATCGACTCAGTCGCGCGCGGCAGGAGGTGCAGGAGTTGCAGCGGACCCCTTCAGCTTCTCCCAGGGGGCGGTACACGCAGCGCGACGTCGCGCATCCGACCGCCACCCATCCCTCCCGACCGTTTAACCGCCCACACGCGAAACGCGTGGCAACGGGACATCCGCAACGCCTGCCGCGTCGGCAGCGGCTACGCAGAGAAAGCGATCGGACACTGATGGGGCATTCTCAGGGCTCGAATAGTGCAGACTATGGCGGGGGAAGCAAACGCAGTGATGGGGCTGGGCGGGGGGGGTTGAGGCTCTACGCTTGCGAACCTGGTCTTCATAACGGGTGGCTGTCAGCGGCACCTGGTTTCAATTGTGAGACCCAGGATTGAAAGCAGGTGCTGGCTCAGCGTCTCTGTCACTGAGCCAGGACTCGTTGATGGTGGTGGGTGGGTGGGTGGGTTATATCCCCCCTGGGTGAACTGGTTTCACATTTTTGAGCACAGTTTCTGAGCAGAGTTCATAGGCGGCTCACTTTAGGAGGAGTAAGCAGACCAAAGCACACGAGCGGGGCTCTGCGACTGTCCAAGCAATCGATCACTCTGCCGATTATCGGTTCGATTACCGACCAAACGGACAACATTGAAATGGTTGGAAAGAAGTTTCTTCTCCGTTCCCGCGTGTGCCTCTGGACGGGAGGTTATAGGTGGGGGTCTTGGTGACATCATCGGTATCATCAGCTGTGTTGTTACACTGGGCATGGCATGTAGGGGTGTCCTGGCTTCGCGAGGCAGGATTTTGTTTAAAATGACTGTTTTATATATATTTTATTATTTTATTGTTTCCCTTCAACGTGACTTTACCGAAAGAGCTAAGAATATGACTGTTACTGTTATTATTAGTGAGATTATCATTATTTGTACTCTCTGTCTATAATTTTCTGTCAATGAATCCGAACGATCGTGACGCGAAGGTGAATGCGAACGGGACGAATCGCTCTCACCGATCTGATCTAGAATTATTTTTGTTTTTTTAAAGCAGAATTCCGGCGTGCATCAGAGAAGAGCATCAGAGAAGAACATCCCTTCAAGTGCACGTCGCCAGCTACGACGATGTGCGGATCGGAAAAAAAAAACACAGCGCGGATTTCGCACGCCGGAGCGTAGTGGTTACCGTAGAGTCACGGGAGCGCGACGGATGGCATAAAAATGAGGGGGGAGGGGAGCCTTTATCCGGCAGCGGGCGAATGACGTGGCCACGTCGATGATGGGGTGATCCACGTCAATACTCACGATCCTTGCTGGGCACGGTAAACCCTGCGCAGTCTTCCGCTTGCAGGATCTGCTGCACCGTCTGGAATAGGGGCGCGCACCTTTGGTCAAGTCGGTGAATCGGGAAAAAAACCCCGATGTCGCACACTGAACACAGGTGCCGCTCTCTCATGCCGACACTTGGCCCTCGGTCAGGGCGCCCGCATGGCACGTCGAGGGAGTGGGTGACCACTGTGCCACAGATCCCCAATGCTGCTTCACACACACGCACACACAAAGGACAAGGACCCCCCCCCCCCCCCCCCCCGCCACGTATAGCCTCGAGGGCAAGTGCTGTTCACGAGCACCTGTGAAGGGCGGCGCAGCACACGAGAGGGTGGGGGGCCAGCACAATTGCCCGGCCGCCTTTGTCTCCCCGGTGCTGATGTTTACACACTGCACCAGGTACTCATTTTAGGCTGAGTGAATCTAGCAGAGGCCCAGGACCGGTGTAGATATTCGTCACTGATGTTGGCCGTGAGCGGGAATCCAACTTGGGTCGACGGGTTCGTAGCGTGCACAGCGCGCGAGCCACTCCACCACCGATCCACCACACACAACACCTGCGATTAGCACGGTTGGCGACGTATGGTGCGAAAGAAGTTCAGCATACATAAGACGCACACGCGCACACACACACGATTGTATACACAGTCCCAGCACTCAAACCCAGCGGCTCAGAGGCGCCTGAGGGAGGTAGCCAGCCACGGCAGTCACACGGGGCATTGCTTGTACCGTGAGCGAGACACTGACCTTGCTGGTGGTGGCCAGGTTGAACCCCGGGCGGCAGTACTCCGCGTTGAAAGCTTGGGAGGGAGGCTGAATCATGTTGACCACCCAGAAATCCCTTGGGCACTGCTTGACACATATCTGCATCGATCGAGTAGCAGGACAAGTTCGAAGTTAATTTCTGTTTGACCAGGTGAGAGGTCAAGACCAGGTGAGAGGTCAAGACCAGGTGAGAGGTCAATACGGTAGGGCGAGATTCTCATTTGTAAGAGTGACCTGGATCACAAAAAAATGGCAAAAGTAATGACGCAGAAATAAAGTCAAGTAAAGGGATGAAGAAAACAGAAATCAGAGCAACAACAACAACAACAACCGCGCTACGAAAATAAATGAAAAGATAGTGCGCAAACAAAATCTATTTACTGTGGACGGTTTACTTTTGAAAAGCGAGTCACGGCAAATTTACTCAGAGAAAATGTCAAGTTATACCGAACGGTAACGATTGCGCTCGTGTGCAAACAGACGGGGACACGTGCGTTAGAAGACAACTGCGGGTGGTGGTATCGCAGGGGAAGGACACCTTAGCATCAACGTGGGATTTAGATCCAATTTGTACGATACCGTAAGATGGCCATCGCATGTATTTGTGATTCTAAGTCGTCCGTGATACGAATGTGCGGGCCAAACAACGGCCAATTCATTTTTCGCAAAAATGTACAAAGGCTTTGCGTCCTCGACTCTCCGAAATGAACTTGAAACTACAGATAAGAAGGCGGGGGCGAGGGGAAACACATTTAGAGTTATGGTCAGGGGTGTCCTGGTGATGCCGCTGCAGGACGATTGCCACCTATTCCACAACCAAACTTCGAACCCGGCCAGGTCTCTCATCAAAACTGTTCAGTCGTCTACTATAATAAAGTTAAACACTCTACCGGCACCAGATCTCGGTACAATTCAACCGTCGTAACCCGAACACAGACGCCAAATGAACCTTGTGGTGGTACCCCGGGGTACCATAGAACCCCGGGGTACCATAGAACCCCGGCTCTCGCATAATGTTCGTGATGCAGTCATGTTGAGTCTGTTGATGGTCGGCGATGCGGCAATCGACTCACCTCGACGAGCTGTACACGATGCGCTATTCAAAGTGAAAAAATTCGATAACGCATTTTTTTATGCTAATGTTTGGCGTTTTGACAACGTGGAGTAGCACTGATTTCGGATCGATTAATACCCCAGTCGCGAAGTTAAGTACACTATGAGACCTCCTTTGCCAGTAACAAGATATAGTAATAGGTTTTACCCTTTAAACTGGCACAAAAACTGACACCTTTATTCAAGGCATCATGTTTGCAATAACCACAACACAAGCAGTCAAAATGCAAACAAAAGAGTTGTCTCTTTTGTTTGCATTAACCACAAGACAAGCAGTCAAAATGCAAACAAAAGAGTTGTCTCTTTTGTTTGCATTTTGACTGCTTGTGTTGTGGTTATTGCAAACATGATGCCTTGAATAAAAGTGTCAGTTTTTGTGCCAGTTTAAAGGGTAAAACCTATTACTATAAGTTAAGTACACCCCTGGAAAAAGTAGTGTCCCAGAAATAAAATATTGAATTGCCTCGGCCATGTTGTACAATTTGGTACCCCGGGGTACCGCCTTAAAGATCTAATTACCAGATCGCCCGGGTCAAAATCCGGTGGCAACCCGACATCGCAGTGACGCGCCCTGCTACGCTACGAGCAGCGTAACGTGACCATCATTACCGAGCGAGCAGCTACCCCCTTCCGGAGTCGCCGAAATTTTTTTTTTCCAAATCGCCCATCGCACCGAGAAAGGTGTGAACCGCCAGCCCCGAGCTGCCACCGTCCCCGCAAGGGAAGCCACTCGCCTGCGTGGTCGGGCAGTTGAAGTTGAGAAGTGCGGCGCTGCCCGCACACTTGAAGATGTCAAAGTAGAGCAGGAAGGGCTTGTCGCTGAAAAAGAGAGAACGCACAAAGGGAACAACAACAGCACTGTGATATCACAGTGGTGTAACGATCGGCAACTTGCCAGGGTAAAGCCGCTTCGTGCGCTGTTCATATCCCATGAACATTTGTGCGCAGGTTGTAATTTTTATCGTATATATTATATCAGGGACGCTGCCATGGTCGTAACTGTCCGCACACTACTTGCATTCCAGGAGGTCGCCGGTTCAATTCGATCTCCTGGCTCGGCAGTTGACAAATTGAGGAATATCTGAAATACGCACGAAGCTTTGCTCACCCAGGAGCTTAAATGGGTTCGGTTGCATGAGCAGGTCGCGTATGGTGGTGGTGGTGGGGACGCGGTAGTGTAGTGGTTAGCATCACTGTGCTACAAACCCGGCGACCCGGGTTCGATTCCCGCTCACGGTCGACACCAGTGACGATTATCTGAACCGGTCCTGGGCCTCCCATAGGTCTACTCGGCCTCAGATGAGTACCCGGTGCGGTGTCTAAACATCGCCACTGGGGAGACAAAGGCGGACGGGCGTAGTGGTGTTGTCCACCCACCCCCTCGTGTGCCATTGCCGGCCTTCATAGGTGCTCGCGAACAGCTCTTGCCCCAACAGTCTGTTGAGGCTATACGGGGAATATTTGTATTTGGTGGGGTAAAGTGTGGGTACTATTTCAAGCCCGTTTGGCCAGGGTGTCACGGCATTGCGAAATGACCCTGTAATATGAATTCCTGCAGTCACGAAAGCTTCAAGTGAAGATTTGACCCTGTAAAGTCGGGGGCCCTCTAGAGTTCCCTCGAGTGGAGACCACCAGCAGCAGTGGCGTGAACGAGCGACCGGCTTGGGGTTAACCCGCCGTAGATGACCCAACGTGAAAGTCGTGTTGCTATTGGGGACTCACTCATTGGCCAAAACATGTGGAGGCAATGACGAGAGCAAAAAAAGGAATGCTGTCCAGTGATTGCAAATATGCGAACACATTTTGTCCCGACACCTGCTTCCACCCAGCTTCCGTCCTGCTAATTGAATACTTCCACCACGGAGCTTTTGTGCGTATTGACGGTGACATGCTGTCGCATCGTCCAAACCTGTAGTTGCCCCGGCCACAGTAGTTCCCTTGGCTGTCCGTCGGGTAGATGACCTTGCGAGGATCTCCATTCAACCAGGCTGAGAGGACAAGTAAGGGACGACGAGTTCAAGTTTGTGCCGTAATTAAGTCACGATTGCAGAACGTTTCACACAGGCGCAGCTTCCATTCACTCGTGTGGTTTATAGTCTATTCACTGTTTTTTTAAATCTGTACAGTACTTTGCATGGCATCATTTTGCACGAAATAGTGCTACAGAATCTAGATTTGAAGTTGTCGTGACTCCAGGGATCCATACTCTTTGGTTCTTTCGGTAAAGTCACGTAAGGTATAAAATAAAATAAATCACGACGTTTCGGGCGCAACACAAGCGTCCGTCATCAGGTGGGACAACCACAGCAAGGAACAATTGCTGAAGTGGGCAAAAGGGCCGCTGTAACAAGAGGCTATGTAGGTAAGAGAGGGGGGACGAGCAAGGGGGGAGAGATAGAGAAGGGGGGGGGTAGGGAAGTGCTGCGATTCTTTCTTGCTGTGGTTGTCCCACCTGATGACGAACGCTTGTGTTGCACCCGAAACGTCGTGATTTACTTTATTTTACACCTACGCGACTTTACCGAAAGAACCAAGGAGTATAAGGCTACAGAAATAAAGATTTGATTGATTGAAGAGAGAGGGAGAGAATTATTCGCGAGCGCATGAAAAGGAGGAGCGGGAGAGTAGCCAGAGCCAGCGTCGACAATTTCCCAAGCTCTGTGGTCCTATATTGGATGGGATGTTGTGGCAAATTTCCATTAGCGAGTGTATATACGTGTGGCAGGACACCACCTGGCTGGGTTTAACCCCTGGCAGATGGAGACGCGGCCTCTGTGTGTGTACGTAGAACTTTGCTCACAGCGTATGTAGCCCACCGTCCGCGGAGGACATCATGACCACCGCCAACACGAATTAATAAAGTGAATGAATTCAAATTGCTTTCGCGCGTGACCGTCACCGAGAAAGCCCACGACGATGTAGGCGGCGATCACCACCATGAAGAGCACGCAGCAGACGATGTCCGTGCAGCTCCTGGGAAGACAGGACGACAGGTCAAGGGCCGACACCGCCCCATCATCACCCACTGAGCGTGAAGACTCGGGAATATGGACCCATTCTTACGCTCACACGCATGCGGTAAATGTACAGCAAAACCTTGCATTGCGAGTAACTTGGTCCGCGAGTGTTTTGCAAGACGAGCTAAAAATTTAAATCAATATTGATTTGATAAACGAGCGAGGTGTCTTGCAACACGAGCAGTGTACGTGTACACGCTTTGATCACAACTGATACGTGACGAGTCCTTTGATATACGAGTGCTTTGATATACGAGTGCTTTGGATTACCACAAACAGGTTTCCGGAACGAATTATGCTCGCAATCCAAGGTTTTACTGTATATGTGTCAGAATGGGTTTTTTTTCTCCAGAATATTTATACTGGAGGAATCTGATGAGCCATCAAGTGTTTTGCACAGATGTCCAGTATGGGCACGGGGTCAGAACGTTACAAAAACAAACAGCACAAAAACTCGACAGTAGTGCAAGTTACAATCAAGGTAAACACATCACCTAAACACAAATACAACACTAAACCATCCACATCCTACCAGGCAAAGCCCACTGAGCCATTAACTTATTTTTCAGAAGCGACCTGGCTACCACAATTGATAGCACAACAAAGTAGCCCCATCATTTGGACATTCATAGCGGGATAATCATCCGAATAATATCAACGCATGCTTCTAAATATATACAGGCAGGCCTCGCTAAGCAGGACACCACGCAAAGCGAGACCCTGTGCTAATCGAGGTTATTCAGTATTGGTACAGAAGTAATTCAGTTTTTTTACAGAAGTAATTCAGTGTTGGTACAGAAGTTGTTCAGTGTTGGCAATCCGTTTCTTCTACTGACAGATAGAGGAACCTGTGTATTACTCAAGCCAGAAGAAGGCCGATCGCAACCACAACGAGGATTGCCACCTGGATGTGACCCAGGTGCACTCCGGGAATTGGCATTCTGTGTTTGGGTGGCAGGAACCGATTTATACAGACCTCTGGTAATGGAATTCTGCTGAACGTTATCACATATACTGCAGAGTTGTATTTGTTATAATAGACCTAGCGTCGATTGGATTTGGTTTGGGCTGAAGGGATGGCAACCCTACCCTCGACAGGGCAGTGGGACCCTGAATGATTTGTTGATTAGTAAGCTACAGATGAGGCTCAGGCCATGTCACCCATAAACACTGTGGAAGGAGTGGCTACATACAGCCTGGTGTCTGGCTGTGGCCCAACAACAACAACCAACAACCACCAACAACCAACAACAACCACCACCAACAAGCACCAACAACCACCACCAACAACCAACAACAACCAACAATAACCACCAACAACAACAACCACCAACAACCACCAACAACAACCACCACCAACAACCAACAACAACAACCACTAACAACAACTAACAACAACCAACAACAACCGCCAACAACCAACAACAACCACCAACAACCACCAACAACCAACAACAACCAACAACAACAACAACCACCACCAACAACCACCAACAACCAACAACCACCACGCCGAGACACCTTCCTCGCTGTGGTGGTCTTGTCTGTGCTGTCCTTCCTGAGCTGTTCGAAACTTCTCCTCCCGTGTGTGCCCGTCATATTTTGTCGTGTTTCGTGATATTTCGTGATGTTTCGTCATATTTCGTGATGTTTCGCTTGACATCATCTTGGGGGTTTTATTTGCTTTTCTCTCCCTCCACCGAGTTTTCATTCACTCTCATTCCAGCCGCTTGTGCATCTTCTCTCCTTCCATCCCTACCAGGGCGATGATATCGAGTGAAGAATGGTCCTCGTTCTTGCAGCGTATGTCTACGCGTGGTGTGTTTTAGACAGACATTCTTTAAGCTCCACGGGTATATCTTTATTGTTATTATTTGTTATATTGCTTGTTTACCCAGGAAAGCCTCACTGGGTTTTAAGTTTTTTTTTTTTTCAGGTGAATCTTGCCAACTTTTAAATGTTGCTATGTGTAACCCTAATTGAGTAATTTGCAGGGAATTATTCTGGATTGGGATGTTTGGCCAATACTGTTTACAGTGTTTGTGAATTGTTAGCTATGGGAGAGAGGGAAGCTGAGAATCCAGAGGAAACCCATGCAGACCAAGGGGGAGAACACACAAACTCCACACACACACTCACCCACTCACTCACACTGTGCAGAACAGGGGGAGAACACACAAACTCCACACACACACTCACCCACTCACTCAACCTGTGCACACTAGGGGGGAGAACACACAAACTCCACACACACCCACTCACTCACCCTGTGCACACCAGGGGTGAGAACACACAAACTCCACACACACACACACTCACCCACTCACTCACCCTGTGCAGAACAGGGAGAGATCACACAAACTCCACACACAGACCCACTCACTCACACTGTGCACACTAGGGTGAGAACACACAAACTCCACACACTCACTCACCCACTCACTCACACTGTGCAGAACAGGGAGAGATCACACAAACTCCACACACACACCCACTCACTCACACTGTGCAGAACAGGGTGAGAACACACAAACTCCACACACACACTCACCCACTCACTCACACTGTGCAGAACAGGGGGGGAACACACAAACTCCACACACTCACTCACTCACAATTTGTACACTAGGGGGAGAACACACAAACTCCACACACACACTCACCCACACACACACTCACCCACTCACTCACACTGTGCACACCAGGGTGAGAACACACAAACTCCACACACTCACCCACTCACCCTGTGCACACCAGGGTGAGAACACACAAACTCCACACACACACTCACCCACTCACTCAACCTGTGCAGAACGGAGAGAACACACAAACTGAACACACACTCACCCACTCACTCACACTGTGCACACTAGGGGGGAGAACACACAAACTCCACACACACACTCACCCACTCACTCACACTGTGAACACTAGGGAGAGAACACACAAACTCCACACACACACACCCACTCACTCACACTATACAGAACAGGGAGAGATCACACAAACTCCACACACACACACTCACACACTCACTCACACTGTGCAGAACAGGGGGAGAACACACAAACTCCACACACACACCCACTCACACTGTGCAGAGCACGGGGAGAACACACAAACTCCACACAGAAATTCTCCCGAGTGCGGAATCGAACTCAGGCCCTTCTCTCTGTGAGGCACAAGTGTCACTGCAGAGCCACCTTGCCCACCCTACAATGTATCTTTACCCGTCTATAGCAACTACTTTTTAAATTCCTCGCAAGACACTCATCTCTGCAGTGGTGCTATCCCAATTGGGACCCTAAGCGGGAACGATTTTGTCCTCCTCTTGTTAATTTATAGACTCCAAGTGAGATGAAAGAAAGTGTTGAGAGAATCGAGGTGTAATGACACGACGGACGAGATAGAGACAGCAGATACCATATAGTGGCATGCGTAGAAGATATGCGGACAAAGAGATAGGGATGGCGTGGCTGAGAGAAGAGTGATTGAGGCAACATAGAGGGGTCGTGAGATGAGAGATGTCGATGTGTACCTGTAGTGAGAGAAGACACGAGATAGCATGAACCCAGATGTTTGCTCTTGAGCCTCTTGGGGCCTTGAACTTTTGCTTCTATGGCACTACCACTGAGCCAGGAGTGGAAATGTCACAGCGGCTACGGCTGGCCCCACTCTTTCCGTACGATCACTATTTGGCTTATCACAAGGTGGGAATCTGACCTCATGCGGATGATGATGATGGGCTGAGTTGAAACGGGGCCAGGATATGAACTCACGGACCTTATGAATACGTCTCGAGACTGATTTCCGCTGGCTTCGCGTGGATCAATGAAAGGGCAGTTGTTTGGAGAACCAGTCGCGTATTTCCACTGCTTTGAGAAGCGAGCCTCGTGTAGGCGTGGGCGCGCCTGTGGGCACGCCTGTGTGTTTGCGTGCACGAGACACAGGCCACTTTGTGGGTCCAGAGCCAATTGGGACAACACATAGCGATCCTCGCCGCCGCCTCCTAGCAGATTAATGTCCCCAGGTCACTCTTGGAAATGAGACCCATCCTGGCCTAATGAATTTCCCACCTGTTTAAACAAAATCAACTTGAAGCTTGGGTTCTGTGTTTGTACATGTACACGCGCAGATGTGATATGTGTGTGTGTGTACGTGTGTCTGTTTGTGGAGGACGCTCCAGGGCAGTTGGAGGCAGTCGCCTTCCAACAACAGCGGAGGGCAGGGAAGCGACGCTCACAACAACGAGCGGGGCACCGGGCGGATAAAATGCAGCAATTTGACGCAGCAGGCATCACAGGTGGTGTATCTGCCAGGCATCTAAGTCAGAATCAGAATGAGAATGTTTATTTATCCTGTAGAAATTAGAGAAATCAGTCAGTCAACCCATGACACCTGGGTCTGTCCCGTGACCTCTTGCCAGCGAGCCTTCGACACTTCATGTGGCCTCAAAGTGCACCTAGCTTGGCACAAGCGCCGTGGAGATGTCACTACAACTTAGTGGTGAATGGCAGCTGTTTTTGTTGTTTGTGAAGCGGTGGTGTAGTGGTTAGGGTATTGCACTACAAGCCCAGAAACCCCAGTTCGGTTCCCACCTACGTCTAATATCTCGCTCGAACTAACCTTAATTGAGTACCTGGCGCAGTGATTCGCTTACCTTCTCTGTACTTTGCACTCCAATCGTTTTTACTTTTGTATTGTTTGTTGTTGTAACTTTCAGACCAGCCCCTACTGGACATGTTCGAAAAAGAGCTTTATAGTTCATCGGATTTCACCGGGATAAATAACGCTTCTGATTCTGTGTAAAAAAAACATCCGCACCGGGGAGACAAAGGCGGCCAAGCCTAGTGCTGACCTCCCCCTACCACCAACGTAATTTTAATAGGCGCTTGCAAACAGCACTTAGCCCGAATGCCACGTGACTGTAGTGGGGTTCTCTGTGCGAACTACGCA